TCTTCTACGAAAGACTGGCCCTGCCACTGTACCAACATCACCGCACTACACAAAACGCACCGATTAAAGTTTTCCAGGGACAGCACAGCTACGCCAATGATGAGGATGACGTCGACGTGGCAGGAGAACAGCCAGACAAGGCAGCTGGAGATGAGGCACCCTTCGTACCCGTTACAGAGGAGCTCAGGACAGCAGCATTCTTCCCAATGGAAATTGATCAACAGGAAGCAGTACAGGCACAACGCGATCACGCAAGTGCAGAAATGCACTCACCCATGGACGAAGACCCAGCTCGCAACTCTTCTCGCGACACCGCTCTCGACATCCCTGCAACGACGACGACGTGGTCGAAGCTACCAACATAGCTGAATCCAACCTCACAGGCCTTCGCATCCTCGGACTCGCTGTCACCGTTCGGGGTAATCAACAGCTGGTCGAGCCCACCACCGTTCGCCAGGCCCTCAACGGGCCCGATGCTGAGAAGTGGAGAGCCGCCATGGCTGCAGAAATCGCTGCACTACATCGGCGTGGCACCTGGAAGCTGGTACCACGACGACACGCAAAGGGGAGAAAGATTCTCACAGGGAAGTGGGTTTTCAGGATCAAAACTCTCGCGGACGGAACTATTGACAAGTACAAGGCACGATGGGCCGTTCGCGGCTTCGAACAGACTCAGTTCGTGAACTACCAGAAGACCTTCGCTCCCGTCGGACGAGACACCTCTGTTCGCATCCTCCTCTACGTCGCAGTCGTGAAGCAGCGTCCACTGCGAAAAATCGACGTGTCCAACGCGTTCCTCTACATGATCGTCGACACCATCCTCTACGTCGAGCAGCCGCACGCCTTCGAGTAAAACGGCGACGCCATTTGTCTTCTCCAAAAGTCCCTGTACGACATCAAGCAGGCGTCACGAATATGGCAATAGTACCTCCACACCATGCTCATCGAGCTCGGCTTCCAACAGCTTCCCCACGATCAGGGGATATGCCGTCTCGAGTCCCGCGGCAGCTTCATCCTACTCATCACCTACGTGGACGAACTGTTTTACACCGGGGACAACACGGAGCTGCTCGATCGCTTCGAACACGACATCAAGGAGAAGCTAGAAGTGACCATTGATCACGGTGTCACTCTATTCCTCGGCCTCAACATCACTCAGAGTGCCGACACGATCCACCTCTCCGCCGCAGAATACGCCGAGACCCTCGCTAAGAAGTTCGGCATCGATCCCGTCGGCATCAACACCCCGTTACGCACTCCTCCGACCAACCACGAGCCCGACACCACCCCGCTCTCCCCGGCCGACCATCGCCTCTACAAGCAGTAGCTCGGGTGTCTACTGTTCGCCCCTGTCACATGCCGCTCGGACCTATCCTACATCGCCAGCCAGCTCGCCCAGTATCTGCGCCGACCTCAAAGGGAGAACATGGCAGACATGCAACGCGCCTTACAGTACTTCGTCTCTACGCGCGATGTCGGCCTCACCTACAAGGCAAATCTAACAGCTACTCTACAACTTACCGGCTACGTAGATGCTGACCATGCTGGGGACGCAGACAACAGGAGGTCCCGCATAGGCTTCATTTTCAAGCTTGAGCCTGCAGGAACCATCTCCTGAAACTCACAAAAGCAGGAGCTCATCGCCCTTTCGTCAGCAGAAGCAGAATTTATCGCAGCAAGTGCAGCAGTTCGCGAAGGACTATACCTCACGGAGCTCCTACAGGAAACGAAGACAGATATGAACGAGTCCTTCAAGTTACTCTGCGACTATTAACGGAAGTTGAGTGTTGGCCCCGCCCTTGCTTGGGCAAAGCCGACGACTTGGTCGGATGTACGGAAAAAGCAGCCGACCATTCACAGTGGGAGAGCTGCTCGACAGGCTTCGTCGAGCTGCAGGGGACCGCTGTGGTGTTGCTATCAACCAGGGAGCTCAACACCTACAACTGACTTGTTTGGGCGACGGGTGGGCCGTCGACTAGGAGGGGTAGTTCGACCAGGAGGTCGACGGAGCAGTCCGTCGACCTGTAGCTTGACCGGGAGGTCGACAGAGCAGTCCGTCGACCTACAGCTCGACCAGGAGGTCGACAGAGCAGTCTGTCGACCTGCAGCTCGACCGGGAGGTCGACGGAGCAGTCCGTCGACCTGAAGTTCGACTAGGGGGTCGACGGAGCAGTCCGTCGACCTGACAAGTGAGCAGCGGTCGACGAGGGGAACTCGACGACAACCGCTGACAGTTCCGGTCGACGGAAGGGGCCCGTCGACCAGGGGATGGCTCGACAGGAGCTGTGGCCGACCAGAGGCACCTGGTGGTCGACCAGAGGCACCTAGTGGTCGACCAGAGGCAGTGGTGGTCGACCGAAAGCACCTAGTGGTCGACCAGGTTGACCGTGTAACCTGCTCGACGAGTTCTGCGGAGGCACGCGAACGTCGTCGAGGTCGCGATGGTGAAGGCGACTTCGGGCTAGTATCCCGAAGTCGATGTGGCTCGTCAGGCGCAGACAACAGCCGACGGATACCCAACGAGGCAAGTCGGGCCAATCGTCTGCGCGCACCTGCGAGTGTACGTACTGCTGTGTTCTACGGGGCAACGCTGGACAGCCGCTCTACTGCAGCGTTGGCACGCCATCGACCTGCTCTGTTGGCAGGTCGTCTTTCCGCAGTGCTGGCGCGGCTCCTCGACGCAACGATGGCAGGCGGTCGACCAAGCTGTGCTGGCGGTCGACCAGGCTAGCTGCAGAGTTGCTACGTGTTTGCTCCAGTCATTCTTGTCATTGTGAACTTATATCATTCTGTAATTTTGACTTTGCTAGTGAAACTCTTGCCAATTTCTCCCGTGAATGTGCAAGTGCTAAGGAACGCAAATAAAGCTACGATCACTCCTAGTAGTTCGTGCCACCCCCGTAGTCCAGCTCACTACCGTTGTTGAGTGACTCTCCGCAGCGACAACCAGGGTGCGAGCAAGAACGCAAACAAGCCAGGCTTCGTCAACCGCACGAAACACATCGCGCTGTGTTACTTCTTCGTCAAGGACGAAATCGACAAAGGAAAGGTCCGGCTCACTTACTGCCCAACTGGCGAGATGGCAGCTAATTTCCTGACGAAGAAACTGCCACGTCAGAAGTTCCAGTATTGCTCGGACCTGTGCGGAGTCGTTCGGAAGAGCCACGTGGCGCACCTCCAGGAATGAAGGGAAGTGTTGGAGTTTGAAGGTAATTGAGCTTAGCATTCCCGTAGGTGCAGCTGTATCGCACCCGTCATTATCGAAGTAGCGCTAGCTGCAGTTTCGGATCAGCCCGTATCAAGGGTAGGAAGGTCAACAGTTGCAAAAGTCAACTATGGCGACTGTTGACCATCTGGACCGACGATTGACACACCATCGAGGAATGGCAATAGGTGTAACCGTTTGTACGGTTACACGCAGCGACTTGGTAACAAGAAGAAGTGCAAAAGTCGGAGTCACTGTAGAATTGCTCGTGAAGCAGTTATTAGAAGAACGAAATGTACCCCTCTGAGTACATGGCTATCTAGATCCATTTAGGGTGTGTTCCTACGGCCTCATATCAGAAAACCTCGTATCAAGAATGTACATTTTGCCTGGTAAAACTAGCGAGAGGGTTCGGGTTTAGGGGAATTTTCAGTGTGAGCCTGATAAGAGGCTGTCTTGATACGAGGATAGGAACACACCCTAATTGTATGTGTAATTTATGTTTTAATCAACCTTTTCATTTACATTCACTATGATCAGAGTTCCTACCACAAGACTTCCACTACCAAACTCTCTAAAGCATTAATATCCTCTCCAAGTTCCTTCCTCTAACAACAATCTCAAATGATTTTTTCAATTTTTACAAAATCCAGGCCTACGAATTGATTAGGTTAGGAGTTGGGATTTAATCGACTGGGACGTCAAGCGTTTGGCGACTTCATTTTGTATATATCCTATGTTGATAAAGAATACGCACAATGACATACGTTTAACCTAAATCATTGAACAAGCATGTTCAGCTATTTCTGCGATTGATCCTCGTAACTACACTCCGCACTTATTTCATCCTACATCAGCCCCACCTGATGACGTTGACTCGAAGGGCAAGCTCTTGGATGTTTCCTCAGACCTCGCTGGTTGTACGGTTGAGTCATTTGTGCTGGATATGCGTCAGCAAAGGCACCCGTGGAAATTAGGTGGACTGCCATGACCTTGACCTTGCTTGGAGCGTGTGATAGATATAAATGACAACCTACAATTAAAAACGAATAGGAGCTCTTACGGGCCTTTTTTCAGCTAGTCCTTGTTTTTGTTTCTTGTTAACTTCAGGATTCAGTCTTGTATAATAGTCGATTTTGGGCAACTGAAATATGTCAATAGTACGGGCAGCATTCCTCACGCTGGTGATGATGACACCAAGCGGATGGCGTGTGCGCAACCAAATCACCGCCACCAGAATCAAAATTGACATGAGGTGCTGGATGCATCCCGAGCCGCGCTCCAGCTTCTATCTATCCTCTCCTCTGCCCTCGTCACCAGCAGCATCCACACTGACGCATAAATCGCTGGGGCAATTTCTCTATTCCATCACACTTCACTTCGCACTTTTTTACCACAGCACACAAGGCCCTCCCTCTCAGCCTTTTCACTCTCGCCGCCCACGCCGCAATCCTTCGGAGTTGTTCAATCGTACCCACACTCCGCCGCCGCCAACTTTCAGTGTACCAGCAAACATGGGTTTCGAGGGCGAGGCTCGCGTGGTCGTGGAGAAGGAAACCATTGCCGATCCGGCTCCTCTGGGGCTTGCGGCTTTCGCGCTCACCACCTATGTGCTCTGCGCACACAATGCAGGTAAGCTCGCTTCGGCCCCACGCAATCCGTCGTCCTAACTGGATAGTCAAACTCCCCACGTTCCCCACGCTGGAAAAAAACACCAATTGTCGATCTCGCACTCCATGTTAATTCACTCGCGCTGTCCTGAACGTCCTCGCCGCGTTCCCCGGCGGTGTGGCAGGGTGGGCGCCCGACGTGATCTGGGTGGGGCTGGCGTTCTTCTACGGCGGGCTGGCGCAGCTGCTGGCGGGCATGTGGGAGTTCAAGAAGAACAACACGTTCGGTGCCACCGCATTCTCCACCTATGGCGCCTTCTGGATGGGCCTCGGCTTCTTCGTGCTGCTCAAGCTCCTCGGCTATGTACGTTCCCCCCCTCCTACCTCGGGCTCAAATCCTTGCCACCGGTGGCTTCGAATTCATTCAGTCACCCTCTTCGTTCTTCCGTACCCAATTCCTTATCTTCACTCCTCGTTCCTTCTTCGATTCTGCTGTTCGACCCCGGTCATCATCATTCCTCGTCTCCCCCCCAATTCCCGCGCTGCCGCCGCGCGCCCGCGCGCCCGCCCGCCCGTCCGACGTGGCACTCCAACAGGTGAAGCTGGAGGCGGCGGACATCTCGGAGGCACTGGGGTGGTTCCTGTCGGGCTTCTTCATCTTCAACAGCTACATGACCATCTGCGCGCTCATGGCGTCGCAGGCCGTGCTGCTCGTCTTCGTGCTGCTCGAGCTCACACTGCTCTGCCTCTTCATCGGCAACTTCAAGGGCCAGAAGCCCGGCGACAGCGGCTCCTGGATCACCGCCGGCGGCTACCTCGGAATTTTCACGGCCGCCGCAGGTACGCTGCGGCACCAGGCCGCAAGACGCGCTGTGGCGTGTGGTCACCGCGCGGAAGTGAACTAGGCGGACAAACGAAAACCATCCCGCGGAAATTGGGAGTTTTGAGCTCTTCAACATTGTGATACAAAAGAATCTCGATCAAACTGGTCAGTTTCGACGAGTTCGGGCTGAACTTGCCGTCAGTGCGCTTGTGCTGCCTCCCCATTCCCTTATTCTTCTCCGCCCTTTTGTTTTCCCTCCATCTCAGCGTGGTACGCGTCGGGCGCGTCGTGCTTCAACGCCATGGCGCGTCGCAACGTGCTCTACACGGGCAAGCCGCTCCTCTCCTTCCGCAACCCCGCCACCCGCGACGACACCAACGCCGCCGAGCCCTAGAGGGTGCCGCTGCTCTCGTTCCAACGCTCGCTTCGAGCAAAATTCCGGCGGATGTTGCTGCTGCTGCTGCTGGAGCTGCTGCTCTCAGGTCGTCGATGGCTGTGCATAGCTGTTGCTTCAGCTGCTGCTGTCACCGTTACTACTAGCGTTTGTGATGGGGTTGCTCGTGTGGAAGGGAGGCGAATAAGGAAGCAGACGTCGAGGGGTTGCCATGAGGTCGTTACGTTGTGGCGATAGGGAGGGAAGTGCCCATTTGTAAGAGAAATTGAAGTCTGGCCCGCAGCTTGAGAGGATTTGGTTGCTACTGTACTTGTAAATGGTCTTGTTTTGTGTGCCTTTAGTGTTTTGTTTTGTTTTGTTTTGTTTTGTTTTGTTTTGTTTTTGTGAATTTATTAAAAGCTAAATATACTCCACCAGACAGCAATACGGTAATGAAGGTTGGGCAGGAGGTGCAAGGGGATGGGAGGGAAGTGGTCGGCAGTGGGAAGTGGAATTTACAGGCGTTGTTGAATGGCTGTACAACTGGAGGAAGGAGGAAGAGGGATGAGCTCCATTGAAGGAGCAGGGGGAGGGGATGAGCTAGTTGTGCAACTGTCACTAGAGGCACGGACATGGCATGGCATGACCAAATTTGGATACCGTACTAACTGAGCTGAGCACATACTGCATTGCTAGCTTTACCCTACAGTAGTAGTTGTTGTGACTGTACCATGCTTCACTAGACTGGTAGGTACTACCGTACTGGTGCCAGCCTAGAGCCATAGAGGTGGTGCTTTGTGCAGCAGCCAAGACGCAATGGAGTGGCAACTTGGAAGCAACATAACTGGCTTACCATGAGTTCAAACCCAGCGCCTACAAATCTATGTGCGAACTAATCTCGTCTAGGGAGAATGGGGCCACTAGTGGGGGCAAGGGCATGGCAGACACAGCCACGCATAAATAAATCCAAACGACTCAAACCCAACGCCGTCCCCCTTCCTGTCACGTCTTCGCAAAAAGACGAATCACATTCTCACAAGCAGCCCGCCCTTATGTGGGACGACGAGTGGAGGAGGGGGGGGGGGGGGACCAGTGGGGCTGTGCGTGCAGGTGCTACCTACGTGCGCGACCCCTTGGACTTGAGTGGGAGGCGCTTCATGGATGGGGAGGAGCTCAGCAGCAGCGCTGGGACTGACGACGGCATGCTCACCATCTCCCCCTCCCCCCCTCCCCCTTCCACATCCTCCCCTCTCCCCCTTCCTCCACCTCCTCCCCCAACGCCGCTCCCCCCGTTCACGCCCACGCGCTTGCCGGCAGAAGCAGCAGGGAGCGGGGACGGGGAGAGCAGCGCGAGGGGCTGCATGCGTGGAGCAGCGGAGAGCTGGGGGAACTCCTCGCCCTTATTCAGTGCAGGGGGCACCGTGGGAGTGGCGCCTGGGGGCGCTGCGAGTATGAACCCTGTCACCACTGCGTCCTCCTCGTCCTCCTCATCCTCATCATAGTACCCACCCCCGTTGTTGTCACGCGGGGAGTAGTCACCTTCCCGCCTGCTGCTCAGCGCGCCCCCGCCGCCTCTCCTGACGCTGCCGCCGTTGCTGCCGCCGCTGCCGCTGCCGCTGACGTCGGCATCGGCGGCGGGGGTGAGGCAGGAGGGGAGGCGGAAGGAGGGGGTGATGCGCGCGCGGGAGCGTGCGATGGCGCGGCGGCGCTTGCTGAGCTTCCAGTTGGGGAGGTCGGGCGCGGGCTGGGGGAGGGGCGTGGTGTCGTTCACGTGTTGGAGTACCCACGGGTGCTCTGTGTTCGGAGTGAGGTGGGACGCGGATGGGGTTGGGGATGGGAGTGGGAGCGGGAGTGGGTTTGGGGGTGGGAGTGGGGGTGGGTGGGGATGGCGATGGGGATGGAGACAGAGACAGGGATGGGGTTGGGACTGGGGCTGGGGATGGGGAGGGAGGAGACAGTGACAGGGATGCAGACTGGCAAGGGAGGGAGAGGGGGCAGCGCGGAGCCAAAGAGCAGGTGCCCAACATTCCAAGAAGGGCCCAATGCACCCTGAAACCATAAAACAGCAACCCTAAACTTTAAACCCCCAGCTGCACTTCCCCATACCCCCCGCCCACCTCCCGTCCCCCCATCCCCCACCCCCCCATCCCCACTCACCAAGAACCCCCTGCACTGTAATCCGTTCCTGCACGTCCAGGCAGAGCATGCGCCGCACCAGCCCGGCAGCCTCGCGGCTCACATGCACCCACGCGCCCGACTGCGTGTCCACGGCGCCCCTGAGAATGGCCTGGTACACGCCAATGTCGGTGCTGTGCCAGAAGGGCAGGCGCTGCGAGAGCAGTGTGTAGAGGATGACGCCCATGCTCCACACGTCCACCTCCAGCCCGTACCGCCCCTCTAGGACCTCCGGTGCGATGTAGAACGGGCTCCCTGCGTACCCCCGCATGCGCTGCCCTGGTGGGGGTCAAGTGGGGGACGGGGAGGAGGAGAGGGATGAGAGTGGGGAGAGGAGAGGACAACTCAGTTTGAGTGGGAGTCATTGAAGGCCGGGATACACTGGGGCGATGTAGGAGGGTCTGCTTGCGCACCCATGGATTTTACTGGCCTGGTGGACGTAGAGGGGGATGGGGTAAGGATGGTTTGTCGAGCAGGGAAACGAGGGGAAGGAGGAGCTGAGAGGGCAAGCGTGTGAGTAGGTTTGTAATTGATTATTACTATTATTAATCATTAGTTAGAAAACGGGTTATTTTGGGGGGTTGTTGTAGAAGCAGATGCCTGATGGGTGGTGACCGAAGGTGCGGGGGAGTGGGGTGGTTGAGGGTGAGAGGAAGTGTGAAGACGAGGAGAAGGGGCGTTGATATGTGCATTGTCGGAGAACAAGTACTCTGGAGAAATGTAGAAGGGGCATGAGAGATGATGGGGAGGAGGTGTGGCACAGGGCAGGGAGGGTGTGCTCGGACCACAAGGCATGAATGACCAAAAATCGAGAGCCTTGCTTGACATGTGAGCACACGCGCAGATTGCACCCAGGTCCAGAAAGGGTTAAGCCTTGCAAGCCTCCTTTGATCAAAGTCACACCTTCATTTCCATGCACCTAAATCTGGGCAGAGCCCTGCTGTGCCTCTCCTCTCCTCGCTATCTCGCTCCCCCCTTCCCACCAGCCCCCAACTCAACTTGACTCGAACACTTGGGGCCTCACCCCTTCCATTCGGCCCTCCTCACCCTCTCCACCGCAACCCTTGTCCCAGCTGCGACCTCCCCTCTCCCCTCCACCCTCCCCCAACCCCATGTCTCACCGGGCTGCACGAACGTGGAGATGCCAAAGTCAGCAACACGGAGGTCTCCCAGGGGCCCGCCCTTGGAGGCGAGCAGCACGTTCTCGGGCTTGAGGTCGCGGTGGCACACGCCGTGCCTGTGGCACAGCGCCACCGCGCTCGCTATGCTGTGCGTCACACACGCCGCCTGCCGCTCCGAGATGTGCGGCGCACTGTTGATGTGCGACAGCAGGTCCCCCCCCGAGCACATCTCCATCACCAGGTGCACGTCCTGCTCATGATACACGTGGGGAGGGGAGGCGGCGGTGGGGAGGAGGGGGGAGACGGGATACGTGAGATTGGTTTTGGGGCATGTAGGAATCGAGAGGGGAAGGACCAATCTTTGTAGCGGAGCCAGGAGAGGGGGAGTTGAAATAACAAAGGCATGCTGATTAAACAGCTCAACTAGTAGCACAAACACAAAAACCATGCAAGCCCCTTCCTCCCCTCCCCCCATCCCTCCCTCTCCCTCCCTTCCACCCCATTTACCCCCACCCACCTGAGCGTCTTCCAGAGCCTCATGCAGGGAGACAATGTGAGGGTGGCCCTTGACGCGCTGCATCACATCCACCTCCACCAGCAGCGCCTCCACCTTCTTCGCGTCCCCCAGCGTGCTCTTGGCGATTGACTTGCACGCGAACCGCTGCCGCGACCGGCGCTCCACGCACGCACGCACCACTACGCCGCTGCGCCCCTCGCCGATGCGCTCGCCCACCTCGTAGCGCCGCTTCAGGTCCGTCAGCCCGTTGCCCAGCAGCCCGCGCTCCTCCTCGCCTCCTCGCAGCATGTTGCCCCAGCTGCGCCCCCTGCGGTGCCCGCCCTTGCCGCTGCTGTTGCCGGTGGTGCTGGTGTTGTTGCTACTGCTGGTGGCGGTGGCGCCAGTCGTGCTGCTGCTGCCGGTGGTGGTGGTGGCGGGTGCCTTTAATCCGCCGTCAGCCTTCACCTGCTGCTGCTGCTGCTGCTGTTGCTGTTGCTGTGACTGGTGATTCGCACTGATCTCCCCGTTGCTGTTGCTGTCTTGCTGCAGTGCCCCTGCACCAGCTGCTGACATGCTCCCACTGCCTGCGCTTGACCCCATTGCACCCGTCCCACCCCCTTCCCCCCTCCCTTCGCCTCTCGCCCCACCTACCACATCTCCACTTCCTCCACCACCCGCCACACCGCCACCACCACCACGTGAAACGCCACCAGCAGCACCTGCCACACTACCCCCCTCAGCTCCTCCCCCTCTCTCTGCCACCATGCCAACCTCTGCTGCCTCACGCACGCCCTCTCCACTTCCCCTGCCGCCTCCCGCCGCGCTCTCACTGCCACTTCCACTGCTGCTCTTGCTCCTGCTGCTGCCCTGCCCCCTCCCTACGCCTGCCACCACCCCACCGCCACGCTCCCCTGACGCACTCGCAGCAGCAGGAGCAGCAGGAGCAGGAGCAGAGGAGGTAGCGGCAGACGCAGAGGCAGAGGTAGAGGCAGTTGCAGCAGCGGAGGCAGCATTGGGTGCGGGGGCAGCAGCAGAGGCGTGGCGGGCGTCCCACCAGGAGGAGTCGAAGCTGGTATTGGAGAAGCGCCGAGAGAACCTGCCCCGGCCCGAAAACACCCCCAGCAAACCCCCTCCCGCCTTGCTGCTGCTGCTACCGCTGCCGCTGCCACTACCAACGGCACCTGACGCCCCCTTCTTCTCTCCCTCCTCCTTCGTCTCCTTGGATACGCACCCATCCCCTTCCCCACTTTGCCCACTCTGCCCGCTCTTCTCACCGCGCGCCCCTTCCCCTTTCCCCTGCGCGCCCTCGTCTCCCCCCGGGGGCACCCAGAGCCGCCTCAGGTCCAGGCTGCGCGCGGATTTCCGCGCCCTGTCCGACAGAGACAGGGACCTCGACGCTGACCTGGACGCTGACGGGGACGCTGACGTGGACGCTGACGTGGAACCGCCTGCAGCGTGCAGGGTCGGGGCAGCGGACGCGCTGTTGCTGCTGCTGATGTTGTTGTGGTTGCTGCTGGCGCTGGTGGTGGTGGCAGGAGCGCCGGGTGCTGCAGCAGTAGCTGGAGACGAGGACGAGGAGGAAGCAAACCACCACGAGTGGGAGTGCCCCCTGTGCCCACTGCCGCCACCACCAACCCTGCGCTCACTTCCTTCCCTTGACTCTTCCCCTTCCTTGTCCCCCCGGCTTTCCTCATGCGCCCCCGCATGTCTGACCGTCTCCTCGCCAATCAGCCCGCTCCCATTGGGGCTGCGAGTCCTGCCCGCACGGGGCCCAGCGCTGCTGCTATTACCGTCACTCGCCCTGCCGCCATCACTCTCGCCACCACTGGCGCCACCCGCCCTCCCACTCCCCCTCTTCCCTCCCGTCGCTTGCTTCTCATTCACCCCCTCGCGTCTCTCCTCCCCTGTGACTCCCCCGTTACCCAGCCTTGTTGCACCTTCGCTTTCCCCTGCCCTCCCGGCCTTCCCCCCCGCCTCCCCCACGCCCTCCTCCGACCCTGCATCGCTCTCACTCCACCTCCCCCGACTCCCATTCCCCGCGCCCCCGATCACCCGCCCGGGCGCCCACCCTCTGCTGCTTCCGCCTCCCCCCGCTGTTTCCCCTGCGCCTGCGCCCCCCGCCTCGTACCTCTCTAGAAAGTTCGTTCGCGCGCCAGCGGACGCGGGCCGCCGCCCGAACGAAAAGTCCCGGTTCAGAAAGCCTTGCGCGGTCGCGGCGGCGGCGCCCGCGGCGGGGCTTCCGCCAGATCCGACAGATGCTGCTCCGCCGCTGGCGGAAGCCGCGGAAAGTCCCGGAGGGGAGCGGAGTGGAGCGGAGAGAGCGGAAGCTACGGAGGCGGGGGAAGGAGCGGGGGAGGGCGTGCGGCGGAAGGAGAGCTCGACACCCGTGGCGGAGAGGGCGGGGGAAGGGAGGGACCCGCTCGAGAGGAAACGCGGGCGCAAGCTTGCGCCTGCGGCCGCGGGGGAAATCAACCCAGCGGGGGAGAGCGTGGGCGGGGTCGCGCGCAAATACGTGGCGGAAATGGGGAGCACGGAGGCCTCCGACGGCCCGCGCTTGTGGCGATTGCGGGGGGTCGGCGGGGAGCAGTCATGCTGGGCGGAGATGGGGGAAAGCGGGGAAGGGGAGGGTTGCGCGCTGCGGAAAGGGCTTAAATATGAGTGCGAGTGCGATCTGCTGTGCCGCGGAAACTGATCCGCTTCCACGTCATACGCGCCCGCAGACGCCCCTGCGCCGCCTGCATTGCCTCCGCCTCCGCCTCCCCCGGCTCCAACGCGCCCGCCCGACCTGCGCTTGGCGCTGAAAAGCCCCCCCGAGCCCTTGTCAAAGATCGGCTCCCCCTCCGCACGATCCCAAAACTGTGACGACGGCGATCGCCCGGTCCTTATCGTCCCCGCGTCCGCACCCACACCCACACCCCCGCCGCCGCTCGCTCCGTTGGCGCTCACAGGAGCGGCGACTGCGGATGTGATGGCATCGGCGGGGAGGCGCGGGGTGAGGTCGGATTGCGCCATGAGCAGCCGGTGCATGGCACCTTGCAATCGCGGGGAAACCACCTGGAACTTGGGCGATCCCGCCATGTGCTGCATTTGCGGCGATATCAACGACCGCGGGCTTCCGCCGCAGCTTCCGCCCCCCGCAGGTCCTCCCAGGCCTTCCCGCGCCACCAATGCCGCTACTGCCGCGGCGGTGAACGGCGTTCCCCTGCCGCCGCTGCCACTGCTCATACCCATCCGCCCGTCGTGGCTGCTGCTGAGGACTCTCCCCTCCCGCGCGTCATTCAACACGGCGGCGGGGGAATACGACGCGGGGGACGCTGGAACAAACGACGAGGCTGAGAGTGTTAGCGGAAGGTTCAGCGGGGGTGGCAGTCGATCGCGGGCGCGCGAGAGCGCGAGGGAGCCCCGCTCAAGCGTAGCCGCGAGCGCTGCAGCCGCGGCAGCAGGCGCAGGCGGAGCAGACGAGGAGACGGGGAACGGCGTGGTGTAGGTGGTGGAACGGCGCAGGAACGGCGACGCTTCGTGCGGCGGACTGGAAACGATTCCCCTCGGTCGCTGCTGCTGCTGGTGCTGCTGTTGCTGCTGCTGGCGCGAAACGAGCGCGTCCAGATTGGGCTGCGAAACCGTGCGACGGTGGTAACGAGACGACAGATACTCCTGCACGTGGCCCCCCTCAACCTCTAACTCACGCGCCCCCTCCTGTCCGTGCTCCGTGCCTTCCGCTCCACCATGGCCCTGCGCTCCCCCACGGTTTGGCCCGGCCGCGGAACCTTGCCAATGAGCTACTCCCTCCCGTCTACCGTGGCCATACGCGTCGCGATGCATCATCCCCGAACCCTTGCCGTTCCAGCTACGCTTCCCTTCTCCGTTGTCCCTGACGATTCTTCGCTAGGGTAGGTGTCCAAGATCTTCGAGACCTGTAGTTGCCCGTGAATTAATTTCTGCCGGCGACTGACATTTTACTTCTAGAGGCGTCCATTCATGAAAAGCCCTTCGAGCTAAACGAAAATGGCAGCACTGGATGACTCATGGGTATCAATGAGAAACGCGAGGGGATGGGGGTAAACGAGCGTAACCTTGTCACTGATGATCTGCAGGCTCGCTGGAACCTTTTCTCTGAAATCGAATATAAATTAGACTAGGTGTCTAAAGTTTAGGTGGTTGAATCGAGGAGCAGGTCGAGTAGGCAGCTTGCAGCGCAATGGACATGCTGGGCTAGCAAGGACTCCGCCCTAGCACCACATCTGCACGTGTGAACTACAGAAAGCTGGGAACAACGACAAAAAGAATGGTCCTTTTTGCTTACATGAACTTTCAACCTCCTTGAACAGGTGCTCCAACACTTTGTGCCTAAGGCCACTTCATACTTAGTATGTTTCGGTACGGTGCACAGTGGTCCTCATCGGTCAAATTGGAAAATGCTCCCGACCTTGAATTGACGTAGAGCCTCAAGTCATGATTCAGATCACGGTTCTGAAGTCTGGACACCATCTGAAGTGTGGACACTTTGGTAGCAATGAACACGTCTGATTGGCTGCCATGCTCCAAGATTTCTCGCAACTTGTGTAATGACCAATGATCGGGTGTGTTTACACGTCACTGAGGGAAAATTTTGGTTGATGGTGTCCAAGCTTCGCCCAGAACCGTGACCTTAGGCCTCGTGTTCAAGACTGCTCGACAACCTTTTACCAACAAAATATAGACCATGAAACATCCAGTATGTATCATCCATGATTTCAGGAGGCACTACCACCCCCCTGACCGGCTGCGTCGTTCCCAGCCAGGCGGAAACTTGATTTTCGGGGAATACGCCCTCAAATTATCTCCAGGCATGCGTGCGTGTGCTCTGCCGAGAGGAATGGTGTGTGTCCAGATCAGACTGCACAGCGTTCATTCAAAATGCTGGAATGGGTTGGGCGCATATTTGGGTGCTCCCGTGTTTCTGCCATCCAGGCTGGCCCAGGAGGGCTGGGTGGGGTGGGTTGGGGTGGGGTGGGGTGGGGTGGGGTAGAGGGGAGGGAAGAGAGATAGCAGCACCCCAAAGCTACTGGACGAGTTTGACAATTTGCGACTGCCTTCACCGGAGCCCGGCGCGTTTTACTTTAGGACGCGTTGAAACTGCAAATATCGCAGGATCGTCTGCATATATCGATCCCCACAATCGAGTGGGCAGATCGTTTGGTGAAACGTGGCGACCGCGACGTTGTAACGATCGCGGCTGAAAATTGACAGATTTCCCGCGAACAGTGATCAGTCGCATACTCACACTGTACAGAAATTTTGGCTAGAAAGCGTACTGTAGCATAATTACAGTGAAGTTAATCAGGTAACCGATCCGCACATCGATCGTGACTGACGATCGATCGTCTACTTTTACCGCGTCCTTAGGCACTTGCTAGGTTTGGATTGCACGATACATTGATATCTTCCCATACTTCTAAATCAAGTAATTTCGCCGGTTTCCTAAGCAGGACATAACATGTTTAATTTACTGTTTTACTAAAGCACTCTTCATTGTGTATAGTGCGTTGACCTGAAGTAAGCTGGTTTATGAAAAAACAAAATTGCCTATATTTTCCCTATTTAATCAGGTATGGCTAGCAAAGCGATTCATGTAACTGGGCACCATGAACAGAATGGATGAAGCACTCTGATTACTAGTGTGTTCTACCCATATACTTTTGTATCTACGTTTTTTAGAAATACTACCGGTGTACCTTCGAACGTTTATTGAATTCGAGTTCAACGTCAGGCACAGCATAGCTCTCAAACTTTGAGGTGCGGTTCGTCAGATCCTCACCGGCCTGACACACTTTCAAACATTCCCGCGCTTTCCTCCTGTTCTGGGACCAATGATCAGGCGCAGCACTCATTCTTCTACATGCCTACGTCTGACCTTTCACGCACATGGATTCCTTCCAACAACACTCTCACACAAATGCTCTTGCTGGTTTCTTTCGATCGCCCTCAGCAATCTGTCCACGAAAAGAGCAGAATCCCCATCCTGCTCAACTGCAACGATGAGTGCCTCTCAGCCGCCAGGAGCAGCCCGTAGGAATTTCGGAAAGCACAGTGGGATACGGCAGGCTTCTTCCAGCACGACTTACGGATCTACCGCTGACCGTACCAAGAATTCTGACCTGCAGGACAAGGAGAACAAGTCGTCGTTTGAACCGCAGAAGAAGCGAAAGCTTGAACCTTCTAGCAGGATACCAGCAGCTCCAACAAGGACCGCAAGCACAACTCAAGCAGCGTCACGCCCGCCATTGACCTTGGTGATTCACAACAGCGATGCCGACGCCAGTCATGATTTATCAACCAAAGTCCGTAAATGCGCAACTCTTCGTACTCATTTAATCTTTTCTGGTTATTCTGAGGATGATTAACTTAAGGCGAAATTTCTCAATTCAGGAACCTCCAATAATCTCGGACCTTTCTGCTGACTCTAAGGACCCATTCAAGGAACACTATGACAACGAAATGGCTATCCTCAACCGGGCCTACCCAAAATTGGGAAACAGGGCTGCTGACGTAAGTGACATTCTTTCGGCGTACCCTTGTAAACGCATGTGGATCTTCATGACGCCGTTTACATCCCATTTGGTTCAATAACATTCCTGTGTTCGGGTCTCGCAGAATGCGAAGAGATGCGAGTACCAAAGGGAATACATTCGTGATCTGAAGGCATGCATCAATGATGCGGTAATATCGTACAAGTTGAAGCTGATCGCAGGTAAGCAAGCATTTAAAGGTTATCTCGTGTTTTATTTCGTGTTTCCTATACTGTCACTATACTGACTGACTTTTTTCGCAGAGGCCAAGCTTGAAGAAGAGAGTCAACTGAGGCATAGTGCAGAGGAAAGTTTGTCGGTAAGTAAAACCCTGTAAAGCCCGTGCTTTGTCGCGTTCCACCTCAACAATGAGTTATGCTCATGTGTTATGTTTCTGGATCAAGCAGGTGTGGAAGCAAAAGGCAGAGAAGCTTGCGGGTTCTGAAGTGGAGTTGAAAGCTCGACTGGAAGATGCTGACAAAAAAATCTGCAAAATTTCGGGCGAGGGTACGTTTTCGTATGGTATTGTTGTGTTCATTCTTCACCACCAGCAGCTCAACTCGTATTAACGTCGTTAATCTCGTTCGTGTATTCTCAGCCGCACAGTTGAAGGCGACCTGTGAGAACCTCCAAACTGAAAATGGTCAGCTTGCGAAGAGGTGCAGTGACATTGCAATCGAAAAAGACGCGCTAAGTGAGGTATTGAAATCATAAATTATTTCTTCCATTCACCAGTTTCTGAACTGCAGCTTACACACGCATCCTTAATGTGTTCTTGCAGGACGTTGAACGGAAGGAGAAAGACCTTCTTGACTTAACCATGGACCGTGATGAAAAGGTCAAGGAACTTGGTCTGCTTCGTGCTGGCAAATTGGAGCTCGAGCGTTCCGTGGATACCTTGAAGCTTTCTATGCAAAGCGCCAACGAGAGGTTGGAAGAGGTACGTGTAAAACGTTTTGGACCGTCTATGCTCTTTGACCTCTTTCTGACTCATGCCCTGGTTACGCGCTGCAGGTGAAATCAAGGCTTCTGGATTCTGAAAAGCTTCTCCAGGACAAAACGAAGGAACTGTTTGACCTGAACGTGGTAGCTGCCACACTGAGGTCCGCAGCCGACGAAAGGTCGGCAGCCACCGAGAAAGTGCACTCCATGATGCAGGATCAGGTATCTGATGCAGCTCCTTTCTACGATAGTTGATTGTTGGTTGATACACGAGCATTAAGTACCACGTCTGTGCGGACCAACCTTTGCAGATTGAAAAACTCACGAAGGAACAGGAGGAAAATAAGAAGGCCATCGACTTTCAACGGGTACGTCACTTGACCTGTACCTTTCTACGCTTTTCCGTAAATCAACTACTGATCTTGCGTGTCTCAACGCAGAATCTGATCGGTCAACTGACTGGGGAGGTTACTGCGAGGAGAGTGGAAGTGGATCAGAAGGAAGTCGAGTTAAAGAATCTGGAGGTATGCATTCACTTCAGTTGATGCTCTGAATGAGACAGGTCGGTCGCCATCTCATTATGCGTCTGGCTCTCTCGTCTTGTGCAGGGGATATCACAGAGTGAATGTGATCTCAAGGCAGAGATCACAAGGCTCAGGCGCGAGTTGGCTGAGAGGGAGCAGCTTTTCCGTAAGAAGGATCTCCTGCTGCAAGAGATGGAAAAGCGAATGAAAGTCCTCCACAACCGGCTCATGGTATGGTTCTTGCTGTTTTCACAAGCTTTTTCTATTGCTTCGATCCATCTGAGGCTCACTAAAGTTTCTGTGCGGCTGCAGTTGATGAAAGGGAACATTAGGGTGTTTTGCCGTGTTCGTCCCCTGAGTGCGAAGGAATGTGAAAGGAATCCTGCTGGTATGGCCGTACGGATTCCCGAGAACAACATTGACAACAAGATCGCGGTTCAAGGTAGGCCACTTCTTCTTTAGCACCAAGTCTCTTCAAGGTAACCTCTTCGCGTCATAAGTCTATTTTTCTGACATCAAATCCTTCATGGCTGATCAGGGCATGAAGGAGATTTCAAGTTCGACAAAGTTTTTCCGCCTGATACGACTCAGACAGTCGTGTTTGAAGAGATCGCTGATCTGGTTACTAGCGCATTGGATGGCTATAAGGTAAGAAGCGGGAATGTGGTTAACCTGTCCGTCAGTCAAGAACCTCCTGACCCAGTCTTCATGGTGTTTTTTTCAGGTGTGCATCTTTGCGTATGGCCAGACCGGCTCTGGGAAAACTTTTACCATGTTTGGGGACACCACAGACGAGACACTTCGTGGAGTTATTCCAAGATCTATGCAGCAGATATTTCTGGTCAGCCGCGAAAAGTTCACCATGGGCTGGGAATACACCATTCAGGTGCGCCTATGCATCTCTTGTTTTTCGTGGTTCTGTGCAACGTCCAGCAACTGAACGTTAATTTCTTGGATCCTGCAGGTCTCCCTCCTCGAGATCCACAACGAGGCGATCCGTGACCTGTTGAAAGGATTCCACAACGATGAAGAGGCTGCAAGCTCGAAGCCTGAGAAGGGAAGTGCGGCGGCCAAAAAGGCAGAGCTTTCTCTCTACAACATCATTCACGAGAAGGATGGCAGTACAACAGTGCTTGGCCTCAAAGTAGTCACCGTGCAGTCTGTGGAGGATGCAGCTGAGGTTTTCGCTTATGCACACAAGAAGAGGTATGGATGATGAAAGCTTGCTTGCCGATTTTGCACTCCTGTTCAAGGAAGATGTAATTTGATATTCTTTTTTTGCAGGTCTGTTGGAAGGACAGACATGAACGAGGAGTCGTCACGTAGTCATGCGGTCTTCACCCTCAGGCTGAATGGCAGGAATCGGGTGAGTGCTTAATGTAACTCAAGTCTTGCAGCACGTTTGGGTAAAACTTGTGACAGTTTCTAAGATTCACACCTCAATTCCCTATCAGGACACTGGAGAGACGACACATGGCATCCTCAACTTGATTGATCTGGCAGGAAGTGAAAGACTTAAGAAGTCGAATGCAACGGGATCGACACGGACAGAGTCCATCGTAAGCAAGTCCTTTTTGTTGACAGATTTCAATCTTGTCACCTTACCGCCACTTTTTATCTCCCTGTTCATCCTCTTACCCCCCTCGGATGATGTGCATTTTGATTGTATTTGTAATTATACGACTCTCCTGCCATATGCCACACCCACCTTCAGGCGATCAACAAGAGTTTGAGCTCCCTGTCCCACGTCCTAGAGGCAAGAGCCAAGGGGGAACTGCCACGCTACCGAGATGGGAAGTTGACCTACCTGCTCCAGGTATTGTCTTGAGGCTTTGTACTCCAAAGCATGTGGTGTTCCAAATCTATCTCCTAATGCGTATCACTGGCCCTGCAGAAATCAATCGAGAAGGAGTCAAGGACCCTCATGTTCCTCAACATATCACCGGACTGCTCATCAACTGATGAGACCTTGGGGTCACTCAAGTTTGGTGCGATGGTCAATTCGTGTGACCTTGGAGTTGCAAGCCGAGACATTCGAAGTGTGGATTCTGAAGCTGAGGAACGACAGAGGCGCAGCAGCACCAGCATTAACCATGGTGGCAAGAAGAATAGCTAGTTCGTTCTCAGCCATTTCAAGCGGTTACTGCAGCACATCAGCTATGAGCATTATCTTGATGCCTGACAGCGTCACCAAGCTTTTAGAAGCTGTTAGGAGGGTATATCTTTCACATTATGCTAACCTTCAGACTGCTGGAGATCTGAACCTCAGTAACTAGAATCTGAATAAGTGGCAACATGACAACTAGTTGCTGCAGAAATAACTTATTTTCTGCCCAGCTTCGATCCAAACCTGTGCACAGCCACATAGGCAAGTACCGTAAATCAATTTCCCAATTTAAATGGAATCGTTTTCCAAAGTCCCCTTACTTGAAAATCACTCGCAGATTATGTAGGAAGCATCAGCTAACAAGCACATTTCGAGTAGACATCCTATCAATTCATGATAGCCATGGAAAAACTTTAGGCGATGATGGGAGCCGAGCTGTAAGAACCTCACACCCTGTTTCTGTCACCTGGACCATTGGCCAAAAGTGTCGGGGAGTAGGAGAGGAGAGGTACGATGGTTTTGAAAGAAACAAAACGCTTTAATTCAATGCCAACACTAAGTGAATGCATTCACAAAACGTTCCCGCTAAGTGCTTGCCCTTCATGGTAGATCCACATGCAAGTCACAAAAGGTCAGCTCACCAGCATGGTGTGCTCAAACTGTGCACTTGGTGAGCCATCAGATGTAACTGCTGTCCATCCATCCGGCCACATGCGATCCTTCCATCCACCTAAGTACACAGAGAGGAGGGAGTGAAGGGGAGGAAGGGAGGGAGGGAGGGAGGGAGGGAGGGAGGGAGGGAGGGAGGGAGGGAGAGGGAGGGAGGGAAAGAGTGTTGCAATGCTTACAACGAAGTATCGAGTACGATCATGTGACCTCTTGAAAAATAGCGGACATACCCGCATTGATCATGGGCTCGATGGTGAAAATCTGGCCCGCTTTCATGAGACCCACGGCCTTGTTCTCTGCACGTACCGCAATGTAGGGACACATATGGCAATGAATGCTCACATATAGCAATAAATGCTCACATATAGCGATGAATGCTCACACGTGGCAATGAATGCACACATATGATGTAAGATGCATGAGGCATGAGGTACGCAGGATGGGTCACTCACTGGCGTAGTGGGGAATGTTGGGCGCACAGTGAAATAGCTCTCCTATGCCGTGCCCACAGTACGTACGCACCTGACAACAAGCAAGACACACACACAATAGGCAAGACACACACAAGAACAACACAAAAACAGGAGACAAGACAATCGCGATAGACAGAATGCTGGTCACTGCTCACAGCTACTTTTATGAGCATTCCTCACTTCGCCTCACTGGTCATGCCCTTGCATGCTGCTGCTGCGCTTTATACAAGTGACCGCTGGGGTAACACGGAAACACACGTCGAATTGTTAAGGAAACAAACAAGCAAGCGCACGCATGCAAGGGAGGAGGGGTGTGGTGGGAGCAAGTCCTGTATAGGTGATTCTTAGCGTGTGCCCACTCGTGCATCCACATGCGTGTGCGTGCTGCTGTCGCATTTGAACGAGCATTCACTGCAATTCCACTGCAGCAGCCAGCTGCCTTTTACAGCCTCAGTTACAGCCTATGCTTGCTGCTGCTGCTGCTGCTGCTGCTGCAGCAGCAGCGGCGGAAAAGGAGCGGCGACAGTGGCGAGACTGACCACGGAGAGACCAGCTTGAGCGGCATGGCGACTGATCACCTCCCCCACCTCCCGAAACCGCACCCCTGGCTTCACTGCAGGATAAAAAAAAGTGGGATGTGGTGGCGCGGAGGCATGGGAGGGGGAGGAGAGGCGGAGGGAGGAGGGAGGGAGGAAGCGGTGGGGAGGGAAAGGGGAGAAGGGATGGCAGGAGAATGGACGAGAGTGGGTGGAAGCGGGTATGTGGCAGGAGGGATAAGGGATGGCATCATGGCATTAAGGGGGTGATGATGTGATATCAGGGATGGAAAACGAAGAAAGGGGCATCTGGGTGGCCTGATTCAGTGCGTGCGTGGCGTTGGTGTGCTTGCATGTGGGCATTTGAGTGAGAGTGAGTGAGCTATGCATGAGTGCAGGAGGGCCACTGGAGAAGAGGGAGAAACAGCACACGTACACACACACACGCACGCGTGCATGCGTGCCCACCCACCCACACACACGCAAGCGCGCGCGCACACGCACAGACACGCACGCACACCGCACACGTGCGCTCGCACACACACACACACAAACAGATACACACACACACACACACGCAAACAGATACACACACACACACACGCAAACAGATACACACACACACACAAACAGATACACACACACACACACAAACAGATACACACACACACACACGCAAACAGATACACACACACACACACACAAACAGATATACACACACACACACGCAAACAGATACACACACACACACACACACAAACAGATACACACACACACACACAAACAGATACACACACACACACACAAACAGATACACACACACACACACGCAAACAGATACACACACACACACACACAAACAGATATACACACACACACACGCAAACAGATACACACACACACACACACACAAACAGATACACACACACACACAAACAGATACACACACACACACACACACACACACACACACACACACAATAAGGTGGTTGTTGCATACCCATGGCAATGGCCTTATCAAGGCACTCCATAGTGGTGCGCACGAGATGTACGGACGCGTCACTGGGCGTGCCCACAAAGAAGGTCTCGTTCAAATCACCTGCCATGCCCCCATGCCCCACGCACCATGCCCCGTGCACCATGCCCCGTGCACCATGCCCCGTGCACCATGCCCCGTGCACCATGCCCCACACACCATGCGCCATACACCATGCCCCGTGCACTATGTGCCATACACAATGTGCCATGCCCCATGCCCCATGTATTGTGCGCAATGTTCGATGCCCATCCACATGCACCATGCGCCATCCACAGAGAACAATGCACATAATTCAAAACAAGAGCCCATGAGACACAAAAGAGTGACAATGAGCAACTGCGAGACAACGCGCTGCCACACCATGACCATCAGGGACCATCATGCCACATCATGACACATCATGACATGACACATCATGCTTCGCTGGAATATCCACTTGGGCAGTACAGCATGGAATAGGGAACGAGTTTCAGAGGCCTCGACAAGGGAATGTGGGAGCAGGAGGAAGGGAAGGGGGGAGGAAGGGGGGATGGGAGGAATGTAGGTAGGGCAGGCAGGCGGGCAGGCAGGCGGGAAGACGGGTGGATGATGGGTGGGTGGGAGGGAGGGCGGGCGGAATGGCATGGCACCATGGCAGCCGTTGAGGTAGACAGTGACGTCCACGTTCACAATATCACCGTCCTCCAGCTTCCTGCATGCACCATGCACCGGGAGAGTGCGGATGGGTTGAGGGCGGTTGAGACGTGGTGCTGGAGGTGAGGCGTGGTGGCCATCGTACGATACGATGCGTGGGTGAATGGGGGTGAGGGAGTGAGGATGAGACATCTCCCCTACATGGGTGAAAAACACAAGATCAAACACCATGCCATGGAATGAAACCACATCACATGACATGGCAAGGCAAGGCAAGGAACGGAAGAGTATGATGAGGCATGGCATGTGCTTGCCTGCAGTCCGGGATTCCATGGCACACCACCTCGTTCACCGACCTGCACACCAGCACCACAGGGGGGACAGGATAAGGGGCGCGGATGGCGGGGCATGTGGTGGGCGGAACGGCAGTGGGGGATAGAGAGCATGCAAGAGAGGGGTTAGACGGACGACAGAGCAACACCATGGGAGCTCAGGAAATCATGCTTGCTTCTGGTTCTTGTCTACAAGTTCTGCTTGCTTCCTAATCCCCGAAAATTTCCTCCCTCTCTGTACCTGCACTCGCTCCCGCTCCCTCCAATCTCTATCCATCGTACAAAAACGCATACACAAACACTTGCGAGCACGGGCATACACCACCACACTCGCGTGCATATCCCGGAGAGGATCATATCCCATGAGGCATCGGAGCAAGGGAGCACGTAAGAGGGAGCACGTACGTGCAGCAGGACTTGGGAAAGAAGTAGTAATTGAGCGGCGATGGGTACCCGCCTGCACACACCAGGCCGCACAGGCAGGGAGGCAGTGGAGGCACGGGGGAGGAAAAGGCTTTGAGACGCCTCAGAAGCAGTAATAAAAGCGGGATTTTCTTTAATGCCACAAAAGTAGACGTCCCGTGAGAAGTAGTAGGTGAGGTGATGTATAAGATGGGTGTGACTTGCAATTCTCCTCCCCCCTGCATCTTCTCGAGTCGACTCAAAAAGCAGCAATCGCCTGCCCTTGCTTGCAGATTCCTACTTACTGGTCAACTATCTACACCTCGCCATGCCACACCACACAGCACCACACCCCACCGCACCACACTGCACCGCACGCCGCCCCATGACAACAAGCGGCCTTGCCCGTGAGTCCCACCGGCCTTGATGGTGGCGTCATGCACGGCGCGGTCGATCTCGTCTGTGGTGACCCCCGGGCGGATCATGGCTGCTGCCACGTCCAACACCTCTCGTGCCACCTGTGCGCACACGCAGGGGCAGGCGTGCAACAGGGGCATGGGGGAGAGGCATGGGGGAGGGGCAGCGGAGGGGGCATGGGTCGGAAGCAGTCAGAGGGGTAAGGGGCAGTCAGAAGCAGGACGGTAGGGGTCGGGTTTGGAGGCGGTTGGTGAGAGGGAGTAGGATGCAATAGCGTGTGTGAGGTTGCGAGTGTACAGGGGCATGTTGGAAACGACTCACAACTTGCAAGAGTGCGTGTGAAGGAGTGCGTGGGAGTTGGCAAGGAGAAACAAGAACGGGGCAGGGAGTTTACATGGACTTACCTTGCATGTATGCCGCATTCGTGCTATTTGCTCTGGCGACTTGATCTGCATACACATAGGCGCACACACGGGCACACACACGGGCACGGGCACACACACCAACCGGCGCACGTTGACTTTAGGGAGGAGAGCAGTGTGGGCAAGAGAATGGGATGAGAGAGGAGTGGACAGGACTGAGAAGGGGCAGCATCCAGTAACGAGGCAACCGAGTAAGGGCCGGCACATATGCGCGCAGGGTGGGGGGGGGCGCAAGGGGGTGATATCTTGAGGCGCGTAACGAATAGTGATGTGGGAAGAGTAAAGGGAGAAAAGGAGTGGGAGTGGAATAATGGCGCGATTGAGAACGACAGTGCTGCGGGAGGGTAAGACACGGGGGGGGGGGAGAAGGGGGGGGGAAGGGAGAGGGAAGGGGGGAGGGAGGACGGAGGGAGAGGGGGAGGGAGAGGGGGAGGAAGATGGGAGAGGGAGGAGAAGGGGAAGGGGAGGGGGAGGGAGAAGGGTAGGGGGGGAGGCAAGTCACCTCGACGCTGTTTTGCCATTGGCTGTTAGGCTCCTCCTCAGGCCGCCCCTGGGAAGCGCAAAAGAGAGAGAGACGGGGGGGGGGGGTTTCAAAGAGGAGCGAGTGCAGGTTAGAGGGTGGGGAGCGAGTGGGTGGGGGGCGGTCAAGAGAGAGGGAGTGAGTGCACGGACGGATGCAAGCAAGTGAAAAGCAGGTGAGACAGGTGTCATTGTGAGTGGCGGGATTGATCAAACGCGTGGTGGGGAGAGGGAGGTAGTGCGGGCAGGGCAGGTGGTGCAAGGCAACGCATGGCACGCCCCGGCAGGCTGCCAGGTGCACGCACTTGGGGCGTGCGATATTCAACATAGGATATGAGCATGGGCATGGGCATGGGCATGGGCATGGGCATGGGCATGGGCATGGGCATGGGCATGAGCGGCAGCACTCACAGTGTCGGCCCAGTCAGGCCGCGGAATGTGGGCGGGCACAGGGCGCCGCGGCGCCACGGGGAAGGGGCGTAGAGGACTGGGGAAGGGGGAGGAACGGGGGGGGGGGAGGGGAGAGAAGAAGGGCGAGCGGAGCAATGAAGGGGTGGCAGAATGGAAGGGGCGTTGGGGAGGTGACGAAGAGCAGCAGGGGGTGAGAGGATTGGGCGGACGGGGAAAAGGAGCGGCGGAGTGGAGGAGTAGAAACGCGAGTGGAGGCTTCAATGGGGCGAGGAAGGGATGGTGACTGTAATGGGTCAGGGTTCAGACTGGTGCAAAGCGGTGCAGTGGGACGCGCTGTGGCATAGTGGCACGTCAAACCAGCTAGTGACTTCCCTCCGCCTTCCTCCTTTCTCGACCCCCTCCATATCTTCTCCTTGCGCAATTCCATCCCCCATCCTCCCCACTCCCCTGTAGCCCACCACCAGCTCGGTCTGCACCTCCCCCCATCCCGCCACACCCCGCCGTATATTCCATCCAACCCAAGCAACAGTCTCTCCCACTTTCGCAATTTCGCCAAGCCTCCTTAACCTCGACTACTAAACCGGCACCCCTTAAACCCTGAACCCCGGGAAATCCCAAGGATGTAATCCCTAGCCAGTGCGTCGCGGCTCTCGCGCGCGGGGCGCTCACCCGGTCCAGTCGAAGGGGGGCATCTTAGCGGCGCGCGTCTGCCCCTTGCGCAGCACGTACAGCCACCCCTGCTGCAGGAACGGCGCCACTTCATCCCCCTCCCCCGCGCCCGCTGCTACCACCGCGACGGCGCCCGCACCCGCGCCTTCCCCCGCGGGCGGCACCTTGTGCAGCACCTTGTGGTCCGCCCACGACGCCTTGAAGCACTCCTGCGAGCTGCGGGGGACGACGGGGGGAGCGCGAGGGGAAAGGGGAACGGGGGAAGGGGGGAACGAAGCGGAGGGCAGGTACAAAACCCTGAAACCTGGCTGGGGCTCGATGCGGCAGTGGCAGCAGCAGCCGTGCACCATGCGGTATGACTCCACATCTAGTTTCAAGTCCACTCAAACGCGCGACTTCCACTGGCGCTCTCCTCCTCCCCTCGCCCTCCTCTTCCAACGCTTTTGTGAAGGAGATCCACCCTTCCCCCACCATCCCCCACGCCTCCCCCCTCTTTCCCACCCCATTTTTAATTTCCCCCCTTCATCCAGCTCCCATCCGTTGCCTTCTCCCCCTTTCCCCCTTCACCCCTACCCCCTTCGTGTTCCCCCTCCTAGCCTGCCTCCCTCACGGCGTACCAGAAAGAGGCGTTGGTGCGCGGAAGCTTCAGCTCCAGGCACTTGGGACACCTGGCGGAAGGGCGCACGAGCAAAACGCGCACGGGGAAAACGCGCAAGGGGGAAACGGCGGGTACGGGAACAGCGCATGGGGAAAAAGGGCGAAACGGAAGGGTCGAACTGACCGCGGAAGGGAAGGGTGGGAGACGCGGGATAGCATGAGGTGTGCGGAAACGATTTCAGGATGACAGAGGGGGAAGGGGCGACAACGGGGTTGTTTAGGGTTGGCAAACGGATGATCGGGTTAGAATTGCGGCGGGAAACTCATATTCCGCCTATTCGACTGCGCGCAAACTCACTCCAGCCGCGCAGCTCATCGTCCGTCTATTGGACCGCGCGCAAACTCACTGCAGGCGCGCGGGCTTGCTGCAGCGCAGACAGGCCAGCGATTCGATCGGCGCGGCGGCATCGCCGCTCCCATTCGCCTCGTCCATGCTGTGATGCCGATCAATCAGCGCGATGTGCGGACACTTGGTGAGACGGGACGTGACAAGAGCTGAGAGTGGGGGATGGAGGCGGGTAGTGAGAGAAGGGGCGGGGCGGAGAGGGCGACCGAAGAAACCTGAGGTGGAGCGGAATGGAAGAGTTGGTGTTGCGACAACAGAGGGAGGTCAAGTTGTTACGCGTACATTGTAGTCTCAAAGTGAGGTGCTTATAATATTTCGGAAATGAATTTGATGAGCCATCACATTGTCAAAAGCTGGCACTAATATTCCATACAGCTACATAGATACCAATAACTTGAAAACAAATCAAACTATATACATTATGCACATATGAACACAAAAGTGTACCACAATTGGCCTCCTATCCTCCAAAAGTGCACGGTCTTCTTCTGAAAACCGTGCAGCACACACAAAGCTGCTCCATTCCACCCTTTTACTCCCACCCATCACCACCTCACAGACCCTTCTATTTCTCAACCCCATTGTCTTTGTTCTACAAGCTCATCCCGTGAATAAGACTCCCTAGAAATTGGGGAAGTCATTGGGGTTGAAGCCAGTGGCGTGGTGCAGCAGCGCATTGACGGGCGGCAGCATGGGCTCGTAGATGTCAGTGCGCGTGACAATGCCCACCACCACCCCGTGGTCGTCCACCACTGGCAGCCGGTGCACCTGCACTCACAGGACAGGCACATTGGGCATTCAATGACACCATGGGACAGACATGCATGGGGAGAGGGGGGTTGGGCGATGCGTTTGGTCGTTGGCAGTGTGCTTTGTAAGGGGAAGGCAACAAGAGAGTCATGTAATCAGTGAACTAGACTGCAATGAGTAGGCCAAGGCAGATGGTGGAGGACGGTCGAGCGTAACAGAGCGAGAGGGATTGAGAGAGGAACAGAGGAATAGGAAGTGAGGGAGAGAGGGATATAAAGGAATAGAGAAATTGTAATGCAGGGAGGGAAATGAGAAAGGAGGGATAGGAACTGGGAGGAGAGGCAGGTGGCATTGCGGTTTCTTTCCAAGTTTTTGGGGAGGAAGGGATGCGTGGTGAGCAGTACCTTGTGTTTGAGCATCAGCCCTGCTGCATACGCCACAGGGGAGTGTTGCACTATCACAATGGCTGGCGCACTCATGACGTCACTGCACGCACGCACAGCATGTGAAACGACAGCAGAACAAGCGTAAAGTTAGTACAATGTTAAGGTGAGGTGTAGAACCAGGCTTGCCCAGCACGTCTACTCTCAGAGCCTACTCCCCACCCAGCTCTAACAAAATCCCGGACACACGAAACGAACACAAGAGGAAGACAACTGGGAGTAATGTTGGGCCTTTCGCCATCAGAACTCTTGGGTGCCACAGGGCGATCGGCTCAGCTACCAGCAACACCCCTGCACAGCAAGGCTACGCCCCTCAAAAGTCCAACATGCACACTTGTGCCAACTCACAACCCACTCACAAGCACACTAGTGCGCTTGCACTCGAGCTCTCCACTGGGGCACACGCACACACACCCCGCCCTGCTCTCTCACCCCACAGTCACTTCCGCCGCGCTCCTCGCGAGAGCCCCCTTCTGGCATCTCGCCACGTCCATGTCCGACACGATGCCCACGCAGTGCCCCTCGCCGTCCACCACGGGCAGCCCCGTGAAATGTTCAAAGTGCCCGAGGATCTCCGTCAGCGGAGCAGTGGTTCCTGTGGTAACTGGCTGCAGGCAGCAACAGGACGGAGAATGGAGAGGAGAGGGCGAAAAATGGTGAGATTCAGAAGCTGGAAAGAACCCGACCATTTGAAGACTCACGAGAAGAACGCGAGGAAGGAATAAGGGCGGTGAGCGGGACAGAGGACACACGGACGAGCCGTAGAGGGGCGGTAAAGGAGGCTCGTGAAGGAACTGTTGTGAAAGATGTCAGTTCTAAAAAAAGGTGCGCTCCGAATTTAGAAACGACGGAGAGAGGATATTGATCGACTACACCATGCGACACGACACGAACAGCGACAGGGACGGGGAGGGCGACAGTAAGGAACGGATCAATCATATAAATTATTCATGCATTCCGTTCATTGCGGTTTCGGCGCGGACCGTGCTGGCGCGTGTGTGTCAGCAGCAGCGCGGTGGGACACGTACGCATGGCGTCATGGCGGACTCGACGGGCGCGTACGGGCTCTCCATCAGTCGCTCTGACCGGTCCACTGCACGACGCTCCTCCCGCTCCCGCTCCCTCACTGCCGTCGACTCCGCCATCACGCCATTACCCCGTCCGACCGCGATGCACGCAGACGCGCTCACGACCTGACGAAGGCCGGCGGGAAATCCTCGATTTCTCTTTTGGAAGGCCCAGCGCGGCGGAGAGAGGCGGATGCGCGCATGCGGAACTGCGCGCTCGTGTGCGGGGAAGCGGCGGAGGGCAGCGGGAAAGCAGGGTTGGATCGTGCGTAACGCATTGCTGGTGATTGAAGTCGATGCCATGGCCGTGCACTACTAGTAATAGCTGGTCGCACTCCCACGAGCTTTGTCTGGATCCCAGCGCCTCAGCGATGTTGATTGAAGTTTCCAAGACAACCGGCGGAGCTGGTTTCGTGAGTTCCGTGATTTGTCGCAAGTTTTTTCTCAAACAGCAGCCTTTTAACGATATCGTCGCAACTTATGTCCGCGCAACTCGTTTATGTGTCAGGAACGTAGGAACGCAAGGCGAAAACGAGGATTCTGACGACCAATATCAATTGTTATTGCGGGTGGAGGCAAACACAAGTTCCTACTCCTTCCAAGTCGGCCTAGTGGCTTTGTAGCAAATGTGGTAGCTTTGCGCAAGGAAATTGGCGCCACGAAATTGGCAGGGGAAGGAATTGAGCAGGCTGGCAAGGGGATGAGGTTGCTTGCTGGGTTTGGGGTGGGGGGATGGGAGTTGGGTTGGGAGGGAGTGTGAGAGGGAGGGGACGGGATGAGGGGCCTTCTCCCTCTCCTCCCTTGTTCCTATACTGTACCCCACAACCCCCACTCTCGACTCGCGAGTCACCGACACGCAAATCTACGCTCCTATTTGCAGGAGGAGTTTCAGGCTGCATGTGCACCCGTAGCGCGTTTGGCAGCCACAAGATGGCACCACCTTGACCACGTGCGGTAGAGCCACGCAGCAGTCCGACGTGGAAAAGCTAAAGGAACAGCAGCGATGACCTGTTTATACGTGTTTACAGGCAGAGGGGCACGTGACTCGCGGAAGTCCACGCTGTCTGAACTTCAGAATAATACAGTAGGTGGAATGCAATACAGTGAATAGCACGCAGTGCATTGACCATCTAAGGTATCAAGGTTAAACTAATTATATAATCAAATATAGTGTGAATGCGTGCTTGCACGATTCAAACAACAAATATGGGATGTATACATCTGATGGCCTTCATAAGTTTTATTAAATCAATAAAATCGGAAATATTCATTGCTACCTTCAGTGCTATCTATACCAATGCACCTTGCAAAATGGATGCTTCTAAGTCTATTTGTAAGGAATACTTCTCATATCTTACTGTCATGTATTCATACTGCCACTATTCTCGAGAATCACATCTCGGCGGAGTATCTGCGCTCCCAACCAAAGGTGGGCCTTGTTTGACGGAGGGGCGAATTTGACGCAACCTGAATTGAGGATGCAAGGGGTCCACTTTCTTTATTGGCTGGTCGACCCAAAGAAGCCATACCATTCGTCGATTTTCTTTCCCTGGCGGTCCCCCAATTGCCCCGTCTTGTGGCGAGGCGAAGCTCGTTGGCTCGTTGCCCAGCCCGCACGGCACGATTCGTTTTGTTTCAGTCTGTATATTTTCAAATATCGGAGTCGTCCCACTGATACGTCACCTCCTGAAAACACACCTGGCGCGAATTCCACTTCAAGCTGAGCAGGTTGCGGCGGTCAGCACCATTCCACTCCAGTCGAGCCTTGTTGAATTGAAATTGCATTCCATCGCTGCGAGGAGATTTGCTTTTGCAGTGCCCTACAGTGCCACCTGGGACTGGGTCTGTTCACCGCCTGCCCGTCAACTCCGCAGGGGACACCCCGCCTCCTGCGGGAATGAGGCAGGGTCCCCGCTCCCTGCGCTAATTTCTCCAATCCCACTGTTGAACAAAATTTCTTTTTTTTTTTTTCGCTGCGGTGGCGCCTCTTCTGCTAGGTCGGTCCGCAAGCAACAAGAAAAACCTGCTGTGATTGCCTTGGTTGACTCCACCCTGACCGTCAAGTTCGCCCTTGCCATGAGCTTGGCCAGATTGCTTTGTCGGCACAGCGCAGCACATCACAAGCATGCGCCCTTCTCGGTCCCTCCTGCCCTCGATCGACGCTTCTCTCGCATCACAGTCACCACCCTCCCGCCAAGTGCAAACACTCACAAACCCATTCCCGCCCACTCTGGACAAGCAGAGGTTGAGTAAGCAAGAAACTTAAAGCCGCGGTGCAGATATCTTAGGAACAGTGACAAACAGTTTTTTGTCTTGTTCCTTCCTGGTCGCCAATTGGCTAGCGAGAGAGTAGATAATGTTGCGATGAAGAGAAAAAGGAAACAACTGAGGCGAACGTCGCGAACCTCGAAAGTGAGGGGGAAGGGGAAGGGGTGGGGGGAGGGAAGGGGGAAACATACACGACAACGCGAAAATCGGAACCCATGAATACGCCGTCATCTCTACATTGCATAACGAAAGAGTTTGTATTTCAAATAAGCTGAGTACTACACAAATATAATATTCTGCGACTCAAAGGCACATTCTAGGATTTCAGAAATATCAAAGTTTGGGGTGGTTGTTTCATTTCTTTTTTTTTTGGGTGCAACGAATGTACACATGGCAGGCAAACATGAGTGTCTTTAAATCCAACATGGCATCTCCAAGATGATCTAAACTTCACACCTCTCTGATCCATTATTGATGCAGCTGTCCACCGATAGCAGGGGGGGAGGGGGGTAGGGAAGGACACCAGCCGTAGAAGTGAAAAATGTTCGATGGGGAAATTGAATGGAGGGTTGGCAGAAACAGTGGGGTGCGCGAAGGTTCAAAGTGGTGGGGTGGGTGAAGGGAAGTAGTAGGGTGGGTGAAGGGATGGCCGGGAGAGGGGTGAATGGTGGGATGGGATAGGGGGAAAGGGAAGGGATGGGAGAAAGGGAAAGGAAGGGTTTAGGAATCGGGGGATGCCTTGAAAGGACAAGGGTAGGGTAAAGGGTGGATGGTGGGGGAAGGAGGGACGGACACCGATGGAAGGAGGGACGGGGACGGGGGGAAGGTTTGAACGGTAACGGGGGAAAGGAGGGACGGCGGGAGTGGGGGAGAGGAGGATTGGTGGTGGAGAGACGGTGGGAGCGAGCCGCTTGCTACCGTCGCGCCCAATCCTGCCTCCTGGGAAGGGCAAGAGGCTAAGGTATCGACGGACAAGGGGAGTTCGGGAATGGGGAGGCGTGAAACCGAAGGTGTGGCATAGGAGGATGTGCCATGGGGGATGGTGGCAGGGAGGAATGCCCTGGAACAAACAATCTCTCACGCTTGAACTAGGACAGGAATGGGATAGGACAGGGGGAAGGAGAAAGCGACAGGGGGAATGGGATAGGACAGGGGAGGGACAGGAGAGGAGGGAAAGGGATGGCCATCAGAAGGGTGAATGGTGGGATGGGATAGTGGGAACGGGAAGGGATGTGAGAGAGGAAAAGGAAGGGTTCAGGAAAGGGGGAAATGAGCAGGAAAAGCAGCGACGGTAGTGGGGGAAAAGGGACGAATGGGGGCAAGGGGACGGATGAGAGCAGGGGGGAGCAGTGGGTTGGGAGAGGGGAAAGGAGGGAGGGAGAAGAAGGGGAGGGAAGGATAGGGGGACAGGGCAAAAAGAACAGGGGGGAGGATTAAGCATCAGGAGGAACGAAAACGATGAAAGGGAGGGAAGGACTAAGGGGAAAGGGAGAGAATGACAGGGGGAAAGGGTGGGAAGGACATGGAGGAAAGGAGGGAAGGACAGGGGGGAAGGGATAGAAGGAGTGGGGGAAAGGGAAAGAAGGACAGGGGCCTATAGCATCGATCGCTGCTCTTCCCACCCCTTCCCCCTGTCCTCCTCTCCCATTCCGGCCCTGTCTGCTCGCTACCCTTGCCTTCGCCGCATCGCTACCAATATCGCTCGCTAAAGCCGCTTGCGAGGTTTGGACGCGAGATGCTTCGCCACCGACGGAACAGATGCTTCGCCACCGTCGGAACAGATGCTTCGCCCCGCTGCTCGCTAACGACACCCTGCTGCACGCTAACGTCGCCCCGCTGCTCGCTACTGTCGTTATCGCTGCTCACTATCGTCATTGCGCTGCTGTCGCCATGCTGTTCGCTACCATCGCAACCCTGCTCGCTGCCGTCGCAACCCTGCTCGCTGCCATCGCAACCCTGCTCGCTACCGTCGCCGCTCTGCTCGCTATCGTCGCCCCGCTGCTGGCTACCGTCGCACCCAATCCTGCCTGTCGCCATCGTCGCTGCTTGCCACCGCCGATTCGTGAGAAATAGAGGGACGGGAGAGGGAAAACTGAACGACGACAGCGGAGGAAATCTAGCGCAATGCGCTATGGGTACGACTGCCGTGGTGTTTTTTGAGGTACGAAATAGCGCAGATATTCGAGCGCACACTAAAAGGCGAAGAAGAGAGATAGATATGAGGCGAATGGCTCTCAGTAGCCCTACGGGAAGGCACTTCAAGTTAGTAGTAACCTAGCCTAGCGCGAGAGATCGAGTAGTTTTGAGTTCAAGTTTCAAGTTTCAAGTTTGATGCCTGGCCCCCCCTTCATGCTGCGAGGCACTTTTCCGCACGACCTTCCCCCGCTCTCAGAATGCTCTGCCTGCTCGACTTCCAGTGTATACTGGGTAACGCGCCCTTCAAGCTATAATACTTTGAACTGGCGCAGAGATATCTGCACCGCGGCTTTAATCAACGCCTCATGCGGCGTGTATTCGCTTCCGTCTTCCTCGCCTGTCCCGCCGCCAGTCTCTCCTACGTTCAACGGCATACAGTGCCTGCCTTTCTCTCCGTCACCTTTTGCTGCCCCTTATTTTCTTCCTCGCCTCGTGTCTCATTCGCTGCGCTTCCCTCGCATCTCCACCTCGTCTCGAGCGAGTACTGTATACCTGCTTCAGTCTGTCGCCCCGTCCCATCTGTCGGCTAGTTTTAAGTCATCTCACAACTTGTTCAATCTCGAGAACACCATTTTCGGCCTGGCGTTTTCTGTCCCACCCCCTGTATTTAGTCGGCTCGTCTTCCTGCCCTGCCGTACTCAGCGCGTGCAATTCTTACCAGCTCAACCCTCACGACTCAGCTCCCGGAACTAGTTGTCTCTCCTGATTCGAAACGCAAAACTCCGTTGATGAAGGGAGGCCCAATCGGGGCTAAACACAATGGCGGGATTCTTAGAAAGGCTTCACTTTAACCAAGAACGCCCGTAGTACGTCTCCTCGCTAGTTCTCTCCTCCTCCGCGTCGGTAGTCCGTCAGTGGTCCGTCAATAGTCCTTCGTTAGGGGTATTTTCCCAGTCCTTCTATTCCCTGGCCCACCTTGTGTATCAGACTGCAAATTCAGCCCCCAACCTGTTAGAGTATCACCTGAAGGTCGGACAACAGCCGCTCAAGGGCCTAAGTGTAGGAACCGTAGCTGCCGCACGCGCGCCGCTCGTTAGACCTTCCAACGCAGATCCGCTGAGCGCACCCCGCACCTCGCCTCCCCTGTCCCGCGCCGCGCGTGCTCCAATGGCGGGCGCCTCGAGAAGAGCCTGTTCCGCGCCGAGCTCCAAGGGCCGACCAAGACCGGCGCGTGTGTGCGGCTTGGCGTCGCGGTCGCCGTCCCCAATGGCGCCTCTCCTCCTCTCCCTCGTCTTCTCGCTCTGCTGCTCCGTCGCTCACTCCCAGTCGCGTACGCCTTCCGTTCGAACATCACGTTCATAATTTTTCGAATCCTTCATTCCTCCATTCATTGATTTCTTAGCTAGTTTAGGGATCCACCTTCGCGCAATTTGTTCGGGTTTCACACATGCGTGCTGCCTCCCAACGACTTGCACCCCCCGGTTCCGCCTCTTCTGGAATCAATCTTACCTGCTCGTCATCTCCCAACTACTCGCGCTCGCATTGTCCTCGTCACTCTCACACCATGTCTTCCTCTCTTTCTCTCTCCCTCTTTCCCTCTTCCCCCTCGTTCCTCCCCACCCTCCCGTCGCCGTCACCATCGGGTCATTCGCCAATCAGCGGCCTTCGTTCCCCGTCGCGCGCTCATCGACGTGCAAATGAGTGCGCCCCTTTCCCCCGCCTCTCGTCTTCTCCCCGCGCGCCATTTCGCCTCTCGTCTTCCCGCCGCTCGCTCCCCCTTCCCCCACTCCACTCGCTCCCGCTCTCGCATTCGGATCGCACTCGCCGCTGACACACTTCCACCTCTCGCCACTCGTTCCCTCACTTTTACTCCTTCTCACCCTCTGCAGCTTTTCTTAACCTCGTCTAGCCCTTCCCCACTTCTGCTCCCCACTTACCCCCCCCATTTGATCCCTCTCCGCGCGTTCTCTCCGCGCCCTCCCCGCGCTGCCCCCACTCGTCGCCGCGCGCTGCAGGCGATCAGCTGATTCTCACGATCGTGGTGGGGTCGCTCATTGTACTGGCAGTCGCGATTCTCATCGGCCTCTTCGTGTTCTGGAAACCGGCTCCCCCTCCTCAAGGTATTGCCGATCTTCCTTTTCCACTCTTCAACTCTCACTCTCTATTTTCTTTGGTTGACTGAAAGATTGCGCTCCCACTCTCACTCTCTCCCTCGTACCCCCGTCCACGCGCCCTTCTGAATCCTTGTTTGCCGCGTTGAAACTTGAAGAAGTTTTCTCTCTGATTGTGCGTGTGTACCCGTTCGTGCGTGCGTGTCCCCACGCGGTGTTCGCCGTTGCGTGGCTCGGCGCGCTCTGCTCTGCAACGCCGGGCGCGCAATGCTCTGCTTCGCTCGGCGCGCTTTGCCCTGCTGTGCCCTGTCGGCGGCGCAGGCAAGTGGAAGCACCACGTGGACGGCCAGCAGAACAAGCCGCGGCGCGTGCTGCGCATCGGGTCGCAGAAGTACACCAGCAGCGCCGCCGACACCGACTTCTCGCTGCCCTCGCTGCCCTTCAATGACATCCAGGTCGCTCTCCCCTCCGCTCCCCCTCCGCTCCCCCTCCGCTCCCCCTCCGCTCCCCCTCCGCTCCCCCTCCGCTCCCCCTCCGCTCCCCCTCCGCTCCGCTCCCCCCTCTGCTTCCGCCTTCGCTTCCCCAGCCTCCCCGCTTGTGCCGCCTAGCCCGTCTCTTCCGATTGGCTCCCTTGTCTGCATCCTTCCGCCTCGCCATACCTCACTTCTCGCTCCCCCCCTCCCCGCACCTGACCGCCTCCCTTCCGCGCTTCGCCCCTCACCCTCCCCTCTTCCCATTCCCCTCTCCCCTCCCCTCTTCCCCCGTCCCCGCGCGTCTCTCCCCCCTCCCCCCAGGTTGCGACGAACAACTTCGACGAGGCGGGGACGATCGAGGCGGCGGGGTACAGCAGCGTGCATCGCGGCGAGGGCCCCGACGGCCGCGCGTGGGCCGTGAAGCGCGCCAAGAAGGTCTCCATTGAGGGCTCGCACCTCTTCAAGAGCGAGGTGCGCTTCGACCTCGCGCCTTGATCGCGCCTCGTTCGGTTCTCGATCGCTCCTCGCGCTTCGGCTTGGTCGCACGTCGTCCGATCCACCAGTCCGCTCCCTTCCCTCCATCCATGTTGCCTCTCTCCCTCCCGCACTTCCGCCGTCTCATCCCCCCTCCCCCATCCTTCCCCCCTGCTCACCCCCCCCTCCTCCCCCCGTGTCGCAGGTGGATTTTCTGTCGCAGGTGTCGCATCCGAATCTGCTGCAGCTGCTGGCGTTCTGCGACGACAACAACGAGCAGATCCTCGTCTTCCCCTTCATGGCCAACGGCGCGCTCAGCACCTGGCTCCGCCCCTCACCAGGTGCGCCCTTCTCCCCCGCCGCAACCGCCCTCCTTCCCCCCCACCCAGTCGTTATCCGCCGGGCCGCAGTCGTGTATCGGTCTCGCACCTCTTTCACCTGTCCTGCTCTACTCACTCGTCCGCCTGTCTTCGCCTCGTGCCGCTCTCCCCTTCTGTTCCGCTTCCCCCTCCGCTCACCTCCGCTTCCCCCCGCGCACCTCCGCTCCCCTCCGCTCCGTCAACAGACCAGCCGCGGCCGGCACTGACGTGGGAGCAGCGGCAGCGCATCGCGCAGGGCGTGGCGTTGGGGTTGCAGTACCTGCACTCGTTCAGCAACCCTACCATCATCCACCGCGACGTCAAGAGCGAGACCATCCTGCTCGACGAACAATTCGACGTGCGTCGCGCGCTCCACCCTTCTCGCGCTTTCCCACGCTCGTGTTCTCTCACTAAGGAACAGCACCACCCGTGCCGCGCGCTGCTGCTGCTGCTGCTGCTGCTGCTTCTCCCAGCCGCGCTGCTCGCTGCTGTGTTCCTTCGCTGCTGCTGCTGCGCGGATCTGACGCACTGCCCGCGTTCCCCCCTCCCTCCCTCCTCAAAACCCATCTTCTCCTCCCTTGCCCCTCCTTTCCCCCTCTCCCTCTCCCTCCCCCTCCCCCTCCCCCTCCCCCTCGGCCCTCTCCCCCGCGCCGCTCCCCCTTTCCCCCCGCGCGCAGGTGAAGGTGGGCGGGCTGGGGCTGCTGAAGCACCTGCCGGGGGAGGCGATGCGGCTGCGCATGGCGCGCAAGAAGGGGTACCTAGACCCCGAGTACTTCCAGACCTTCAAAGTCACCACCAAGTGCGACGTGTACAGGTGCGCCGCGAATGGGAGGGAGAGGCAGACAAAGGGGGGCGAGGCGCGGGGGGTGAGGGAGGGAGATGGGAGGGGGTTGGCCTCTACTGAATCACACCGCACGTGCACAAGTATGCCCAAATCCCTTGTCAGAATTCTCAAAAGTGACCTTTACTGCATGGCACCGTACATGCACTAGAATGCCCGCACTCACTGCGCGAATGCCTGTATGGGCATACATAAAAGTTCGACCTATATGGGCTTACATTCCATGTGGAAGGAGACAGATTCCCCTGCCTTCGCTCACCTTCCCTCTCCCTCTCCCCCTCGTTCCCCCTCCGCCCATACACCACGCGCCCATGGCACACACGCCAACGCGCGCAGCTTCGGCGTGGTGCTGCTGGAGCTGCTCACGGGGAAGCCGCCCATCCTCGTCGACCCGCACCAGGACGCGGCGCAGCAGGGGCAGGCGGGGCAGGCGGTGGCGCAGAGCCAGAGCCAGAAGCAGCCGGGGAAGAACCGCCCGCCCACGCGCTTCTCCTCCCTGGGCTCCGCTCCGCGCCCCTCCGCCACTCCGCTGCTCACGCTGCCCCAATGGGTGCGCCTCCTCCCCGCCCCGTTCGCTCCCTTTCTCTGCCCTTTACATGTCATGCCGAATTCACTTGATGCTGCCCCCCCGCACCCTTTTCGCTCCCTCTCCAGCTCGCTTTCTCCCCCATTCCTCCCATCCCCCCCATCCCTTATAACCCCCCGCGCTGAGCATGATAGACGAGGGAAAAGCTCACCAGCTAATGGACCCACGTCTGGCCCACTACAATACGCTTTCCTCCCATCCCCCTTCCTTCCCCCGCCAGGCGCTGAGCATGATGGACGAGGGCAAGATACACCAGCTAGTGGACCCGCACCTGCTCTTACTGAAACAGTCTCATAACTCGTCTCCTCCCATCGCCTGCCAACCCCCCCACTCCCCTCCCCACCAGGCGCTGAGCATGATAGACGAGGGCAAGATACACCAGCTAGTGGACCCGCGTCTCCCGCAAGCCACGCCCGTCGAGGAGCTCCAGGCCTTCGCGCGCGTCGCCGCGTCCTGCGTGTCCCCCCTGCGGCGCGACCGCCCGGACATGCCGCGCGTGGTGGCGATGCTGCAGGACGCGTGCCGCACGGGCGCGCTGGTGCGCTTCACCTCGGGCAACTTCTCCCTCGTGCGCTCGCTCAGCATCCCCGACACCCCTGCCGCCTCTCTCAAGCCCAGCCCTTGATGCTGATGCTGGCGCCAGGCCAAGGGGAGAAGGGGACAAGGCTCTGCTCCTCTTGTTCTCAGCTCCTTGGAATGGAGAAGCCAGGCTGTTGACGATGTGGCGTGGCGCCCAGTGACGCTGATGAGCAAGCTCTCTTTGGCCCCACCCTCTCTTTCTGCTTCTCTCTCGCCTTCTCTTTCTTTCCCTCTCACCCACCTCTCTCCCCTCCATCTCTCGCAATCTCCCCCCATCTCCTCCTCCTCTCTCCCGCTCTCCTCTTGTTCCGATTCCACAGCCTCCTGCTGATCCCTGAACAGTATTTCCTTGCAATGAAGACAATCCAATGCAGCACCACCGCCACACATAAGTGTCCATCCACCATCCCTAAACCCAAGCATGATCAGCTGCAGCCCCAAACCGCCCCGCCATGCACCCCATCGCATACTCACCAGCTCAACTCCCCTCCCCACCTCGAGTTGTGCACCCACTAAACTATGATCAAGCCCCATGTCAACCTGCCAGCGCAGCACCACATGTTTTCAGCCCTCCCACACCCCAGCATCACACACCCCAGCATCACACACCTCCCACCTAGCCATATATCCCCCAACCCCTCCCCACTCCCCAAGCCCCTTCCCACCTCTCAAGCCTCCTCATAAGCATCCGCCTGGCATATCTCCACATAAGCTCCCCCCTCCACACCATTGCTCTTCCTCACCACCTCCTTACCGGTACCTCTTTCGAATCTCACCACCTTACAATGGCCTACCTCCCTCATGCCTTCCATGCGGTAGACAACCCCTGGCTTGCTCTCTCAGGTTACTCATTTGTACCTGGTGGGGACAGACAAAAGCCTTTCTTTGCATGTATGCTGCTGCTCCCTACCTTTTTGTACCAGTTAGCTCTCTGCGTTGCCATGCCCTAGTAATGTTGTGCTAATAAACTGCTGTCTGTATGGTTGGGTCGTTGTAATCAGTGCCACGTATTATGTATTGTATGACAACTTGCTGGAAGTCTACTTATTATCAACTACTGTGCCTAGTGTTAAACTGGACATTTATTTACGCATAACAGGGGGTGGCAGATTGTCAAGAATGAAAGTGTTGGTTCATTGATGTGGGTTGCGGTACATATAACAAACCCTAAATTCTGTACCCCCTAAGACAAACCTCACTACAGGCTACAACATTTGACACACCCCCATAGCCTAAGTGAGGGGTGTCAAGCAAAACCAAAAGTGTACGGTCACAAGACCAGTCACGAAGAAACAAAGCTCAGGGTGGATCACAACGTCACCACACACTCTGAGCACAAGCAACAGGGGCCACAAGGCCAGTTCGAGAGTTCACAAGCGTATATAGCAAGAGTACAAGCAAAGCAAACAGTAGACTCAAGCCTATACACGACTAGAAACTGTGTCAACAATGCCTAACTGCACACAACACCTCTGGTGGTCACAAGGCGGAAGCGCCTTGGTGAAGATGTCTGCAGTGTTGGCCTCGGACTCCACAAACTCGAAGCGAGCCTGTCCACGTCTGTGCAACTCTCGCAGAAGAAAGTACCTAACGTTAATGTGCTTCACTCTGCTCTCCAGTCGCGGCTCTCGACAAAGGAGAATCGACGCCTTGTTGTCAGTGAACAAGGTCGGTGCAGAGCTCGGCCGCTCCCCAAGGTCGGCGAGCAAAAACGTCAACCAACGCAGCTCCTGTGCCGCCATGGCACCAGCGTAGATCTCAGCCTCAGCTGTAGAGGTCGAGACTGAAGAGGAGCGCGTGGACCGCCAGGAAACAGCTCCAGAACCTAAGCTGAAACAGTACCCCTGAGTAGACCTGTGAGTCTCAGCGTCGTCAGCGTAAGAAGAGTCACAGTGACCAGTAAGTACGACAGGCTGCTGCCCTCCAAGAGCTAGCCCAACGCCTGATGTCATCGCTAGGTACTTCGCCACCCTCACAGCTGCCATCCAGTGAACAGGACGGTGTCTCCCTGGCGCAACAAAGCGAGCAAGGATGCTGAGAGGGAAGGCGAGGTCCGGGCGAGTGCAAGTCATCAGGTACATGAGGCAGCCCACCAGCTCTGCGTAGGGACCACTAGACTCAAACGGCTCGTCAGGAAAGGGTCCAGTAAGTCTGTGGTCAACAGCAAGAGGTGTGCGCTGTACTGTGGAGTGTTGAAGCTCGAACCGCTGAAGGACCTGCTGCACCATGTGTGACTGTGAGAGTGTAATGGTGCGAGCAGCTTTGTCCTTGGTGATCTGCAGGCCAAGGTCGTGACGTAGCTCACCAAGGTCAGTGCACGTGTGTCTCTTCTGCAGTTCGGACTTCACGTCTGCCAAGACAACCCTGTCAGCAGTGGCGAAAACCAGGTCGTCGACGTAGACCAGAACAAAGAACGGTGTGGAGCCACGACGAACGAACAGCGACGGGTCGACAGAAGACGGCTGGAACCCAAGGTCAGAGAGGGTAGAACGAAGAGTGTCGTGCCACTCACGAGGAGCCTGACGAAGATCGTAGACAGGTCGCCTCAGCCTCCACTGGGTCCCAGGAGGGAAAGTGTCAGTGAAGGCAGAGGGACGACGCAGCCAGACCTCCTCGTGTAAGCTACCCTGAAGGAAAGCAGTGGAGAAGTCGAGAGAGTGTAACTCGTAGTCTCTCTGTGCTGCTACGCGCAGTAACACCCGAAGAGTGGTCATCTTCGGGGTAGGCGCGAAGGTCTGAAAGAAGTCAACTCCCTCGCGCTGACTGAAACCTCTAGCCACGTAGCGCGCCTTGAATACCGGAGGAGATCCCGGTGGCCGCTTCACCCTGTAGATCCACATGCCATCAACTACGTTCGCCCCAGGGGGGGGGAACCTCGTCGACGTAGGTGCATGTGGATCTGTAGGAGGCCGTCTCTGCGTCCATGGCAGCTCTCCACTGAGAGGCCCAAGGCCCTGACACTGCCTCAGCGTAAGTGCGAGGAGTCGGTATGTCAAGGGCGTCGGGGTCTCCCTCAGGGGCGAGCAGCATGGCACAGAGATGTGGGGAAGCGGCTGCCAGGAACTCTAGCTCAAACTGCCTATCCTCTAGGGTGTCACAGCCAAGGGCAGACTCACCCCCGACGGCCAGAGGACTGGTAGGAGGAGCAGTCACAAGACCGGTGGCGTAGTCAAGGCGGCGAGTGGAGGCAAACTCAGTGACTGCGGCAATAAGGGCGGAGACAGAGGAGACAGAGGCACGAGGGTCGGTAACAAGAGAGGCGAGAACACGAGAGAGAACAGGACGGTACGTGCGGTAGTAGTCAGTGACAGGCGTAGAGAGAGAAGCAGTGAAGGCCGACTCAGGAGGAGACGGAAGGAGAGACGGAGACGAACGAGGCGGACTAGAACGAAAGAGGGCAGTACGAAGGTCAGTAACGAGAACAGGAGACGAGGGACGAGCACGAGGGGAGCGACGAGAGGCCCAAGTCTGAGGAGGAGGGGACAACGGAGGCTGAGAACGAGGGAAAACAGCCGGGGAGGGGCCAGGAGGAGGAAGCGGAGGACCCGAGACGGGAGGAGAGGGGGAGGAGGAAGGAGAGCGGGAGGGGAGACCGAGGGCCCGAAGACCGGAGACAGGAGGAGGAGGCGGCGGCTGCTGTTGCTCCTCCTGCTGCTTAGCGGCTCCAGCTGCTGCGCCTCCTACTGCTGCGACGGCTCCAGCTGCAGCTGCTCCTACTGCTGCTGCTGCTCCTCCAGCCACTGCAACTCTCTCTCCTCTCCCTCCAACTCCAGCTGCTCCTCACGGGCATGGCGAACACGAGCCTGGTGCCGGGTCGGGTAGGGGTGGGGGGGAGGAGTAGTGTCGGGGGCTGCGGCAGCCCCGGGACTGCCCTCCAAAGCACCTGGCGCACCACCCCCAGAGTCAGCACTACCAACAGCAACACGACCAGGCTCACCAGGACCCGAAGAGGGAGCACCCGCACCCCCAGATGTAGCACCCCCAAAGTCAGCAGGACCAACACCAGCTCCCGGAAGACAAGAGTCTCCTGCAACCACAGGTTCAGCTCCAACTCCAGCACCCCCAGAGCTAGCACCTCTAGGGCCCTCTCCACGAGCACCGGCTCCCGCAGGGTCTGCAGCAGGCTGCGAGGAGGACTGCGGGGAAGGAGGCTGCACCTGAGGGGCTACCGAGGGGGGAGGGGTAGCCTGGGACACACGTGACGGGGCGGGACCAGGGGGGGGAGGCTGTACCGGGGGAGCAGGAGGGGGAGCGGAAGTCAGGAAGAGAGGGGGAGGAGGAACCGGGAGACCTCGACTAGGGTACCTGACGTAGTAGGGGGTGGACTCCTCGAAACGGACGTCACGGGAGTCAAAGAACCGGTGAGAGGGAGGGTGGTAAAAGGTGAAGTCAGAGGAGTCCTCAGGGAAACCAAGGAAGACACAGGGAACGGCGCGAGGCGAGAGCTTGTTCGCGGAAGTGTCGCGGACAAGAGCCAAGCAACCCCAGACACGAAACCTCGACGCAACACCAGGGGACCCGGTCCAAAGACTGGTCGGTGAAGCCTCTGCCCGAGAGACGCGTGGCCAGAGGTTCAGCTGGTGAGCGGCGTACCTAACCGCGTAGGGCCACATAAAATGGGGGGCACGGGCGTGAGTCAAGGAGGTGCGGGCGATCTTCATGACCAAGCCTATGCGGCGCTCAGCAACCCCATTCTGCTGTGGGGACTCTGGAAGCGTCCAGGACTGACGAATACCCTGCTCGTGACAGAATCCAGCGAGAATGCCGGAGCGAAACTCACCCCCACGGTCAGAGTGAAGACAGCTGACACGACGACCACGAGTGCCCTCAGTGGTAAGCAACCACCTGATCAGCGTAGAAGTCACCTCAGACTTCTTCGCCAGGGGGAACACTGTGGTGTAGCGGGAGTAGTCGTCAACGACCACAAAAAAGAAACGCTCGCGCTCAGGGCCAAGGCAAGGGGCGGGGCCCCAGACGTCCAAGTGGAGCGTCTCAAAAGGCTCGGTGGCCGGACGAAGGGAGGAGGAGTGAGGGGTGGTGCGCAGCCAACCCTCGACGCAAGGACCGCACGGTGGTGCAAGCGAAGGCGGCAGCGACGGCAAGACACACGGGAGGCCTAAGACAAGACGCTGACGAGACATAGCGTGCAGACGAGGGAGAGCGGGTGCCCCATCCGGTGGTGCCACAGAACGGTGGGGTGGGCAAGTGACCGGTAGGAGCACGACGCAGCAACTGGACCAGAGACGGGAACCTGACCAGACACAGCTACATGGGGGGACGCAGCAACTTGGTGAGACGCAGGGACCAGACTGGGGGAAGTAACCGGGGCTGGGGGCAGGAGTCGCTGCTACTGCTGCTGCCGCCGCTGCTGCTGCTGCTGTTGCTGCTGCTGCTGCTGCTGCTGCTGCTGCCCACCAGGGCCAGTGTGAAGTGTGTAGAGACCAAAGCCCGGCTCGGCAGTAAAGGTGGCAAGAGGCGAGTAAGTGTCGCCGTCAACACAAACCGCCGTCTCACCAGAGGGCTCAATCCACACACCCACGTGCTGACTCACAAGAGGCCTCACGCCCACCAAGTTCCTCGAGAACGAGGGGACGTGGAAGCCAATCAGAGACCCAGAGGGAACAGCAGGGCAAGGAAGAGTAGTAGTGTAGCGAGCAGTGACTGGTCCCGAGGTGGGATCAGCCAGGGCCACAGAGACTGGCGCAGGAAGTGGAGTAAGTGTCGTGTGGTCGCGGAAGAAGCAGTGCGAAGCCCCAGAGTCCAGAGTGAAAGACAGCGAAGCGTCCTCCGAAGTAGCGCCTGGACTAGTGTCTACACAAGTGCCTACACTAGCAACATGCAACTCAGCAAGACTAGCACCTAAGCTAACAACACACGAGTAAATAGAGTCAGAAGCACTAGAATCAACAACAGCATACATAGCATGAGGAGTTCCTAAGAGATCAAGCAACTGAGAAACAGACATGCCCCAAAAAGCGGAGCCGTACGTATGAACAAGAGGTAACCAGTCAGGGGCAGGGCCGCCAACGCCGAAGGCCAAGCGAACCGTGTCAGTGAGCTGAGAAAAGCACTGACCAGGAGGGTGGGTGCGACCACAAGGCTGGCCTCGGCGAGCACCTGTCAGAGCCTGATAGGTGCACGAAGGGTGAACAACACCTCGCTAGGGCGGACGCTGTCCCAGCCCCGAAACCTGCTGCTGCCGCTGCTGCTGCGGAGGCTGCTGCAAGGGGAGGGGCTGCTGCTGCTGCACCTGCTGCTGCCGCTGAGCCAGGTACCACGCCGCTGCTCCACCCACCACGGCCGGCAGACCAGGAGGAGGCTGACGAGTCCGGGTGTCGCCTCCACCAGCTGCAGTAGGGGAGTCACTGGCCGCTGCACGAGACGCCTCTCCAGGCCCTGCGCTCCCGCCGCCACCGGTCGGCATGCCACCCCCACCACCTCCGCCGCCAACGCCTCCACCGCCGCCACCGCCTGCACCCTGACTGCCCCTCCTGCCACCCCTACCTCGAGACCGCGACGTAGTCGTAACAGCAGCTGCGGTCACGTCAGTAGTGGCAGTGGCTAGCGAGGCAGTAAAAGTGGGCAGCTGAGGGACAGTGCACCCGTGAAACAGTGGAGGGGGCACAGCACCAGAGGCGGAGGCTACTGAGCGGAGGTTGCTCTCGACGTCCTTGAGCGCAGACTCAAGGACCTCGATAGTGAGCTCACTAGGGTGCTTCAGAAGAAGCGTGTCACGAACTGAGGCAAGGCGGTCAGGGAGGCTAGTGGCAATGAAGTAGATAGTAATCGCCATAGGAGGGGGAAGCAGTGCAAGCTGTGCGTCAGTGCAAGCAGCGCGGTAGCTAGAATCGAGCGAGCGGAGGTGAGCAATCAAGTCAGCAGAGCGCTCAAACGAGGCGAGGTCAGGGAACAAGAACGGTAGGAAGAGGCGGCCAAGGGAGACAGTGGTGGGAGTAGCGTAGCGGGCCTTGATCGCAGTCAGGAATTCACTAGCAGTGCGAACCTGAGTGAAGTGGGCCTCCTCAGACTCAGGGAGGAGGCTACTAAGAGCGATGCAGGCCGCAGCGTCACGCGACTTCCACGCCGTCAGGTCAGCACGCTGGCAGGTAAAGCGGACTCTGGCGGCGTCGTCAGGGGTAGGGCCTAAAGGCGTAGGGTCGTCGGGCGCAGGAAGGTCACCAGTAGCGTGCGCCCAGAGGGACTCGCCCGCCTGGACCTGACTCTCTAAAAGGCGACGCGCGCGTAGGAGCCAGACCGGAATCTCGAGCGGTCTACCGTCAGCGTCAAAACAAAGAACCCTAGGGGTCGCCATATCAAAAGCAAAGAGGTGGGAAGTGCTGCTGTTGAAACCCTAATCACTGAGAGCGACTCAGTAGGGCGCTACGAGACATAGGGTAGGGCGCTACGGGACACAGAGTAGGGCGCAACACTGCTGGACTAGGAGGGCGCAGCGCCACGGGCAGGGGTAGCGCGACGCGACGCAGCGGGACAGGACGGGCAGCGCGACACGACGCGATGCGACGGGACGGGACGGACTGCGCGACGCGGACGGGCAGCGCGACGCGACGCGAAGGGACGGGATGGACGGGCAGCGCGACGCGGATGGACGGGACGGGACGTGACGGGACGGACGGACGGGACGGACGGACGGGACGGGACGGACGGACGGGACGGACGGACGGGACGGACGGCGCGACGCGGACAGGCAGCGCGACGCGGACGGACAGGACGGGGCTGAAGGCGCGACGCGGACGGACGGGACGGGGCTGAAGGCGCGACGTGGACGGGCAGCGTGACGCGGACGGACGGGACAGGACGGACGGCGCGACGCGCACGGACAGCGCAGCGGGCGCTAGGGCACGAGAGCGACGTAACAGCAGGCGCGATAGGCGCTAGGGGACAATACGAGCGTAACGGGCACTAGGGTACGGGACAGGCTCGGGCGCTACGGACGTGAACGAGAGGAACGGGATCCCACAGGATCCTAACCTAGGTGATACCATGTCAAGAATGAAAGTGTTGGTTCATTGATATGGGTTGGAGTACATATAACAAACCCTAACATCTGTACCCCATAAGACAAACCTCACAACAGGCTACAACATTTGACACAGATACAGTAGAACGTACCTAATGAGCCTGTTTTTGCCAGGCTCAGCTTGCTGTAACTCCTGGATACCGTACCGGTAAGTACGGTAACGATACGTTATGTTAACAGCAGTGCACACTCATTGTTGGAAAGCCATGTCTAAAATGACATGTTTCACAGCACATTCAACCACTGCGTTGCGCACATGTTACTGTGCTCCCTACCCCACGTTCTACTGTCCCCCCTCTCCGAATTATGTGCAGCTGTGCAATTATGCGTTATTCGTACGAACAGCTACCGTACCAGAACCCTGCCCAGCTTTACAAGGCCTTTCACCACAAGTGCATGATGCAAAACGTCAACGTCAAGGAGTCAACAAGCAAATAACCCCTGCAGGATCCGAGGCCTTACCACACCCTAAAGCCCTTCCCCGCTCACCCCTCCAGTTGTAGCAACCTGTGATCTCTCCTAGCACATGCCGCACACCCCCCTCCATACCTCCCCGCACCCCTACCCCTTCACCTCCGTACCCACACCCTCTTCCTGTTTCCAAACCGGAATCCTCGCTTCTGCCGGGTGAATCCAAGCAAATGTAAGGACAGCGTCTTTCCTTATACGCCCTTCTTCCCTGAATCGATCCCTCATGCCTTGCCCCACTCGCTCGCCCATCAATGCCCCTTCCACCTCTGCCCCTTCCCGCCAGTTCTACAGCCACCGAGCACTCACACCCATCCTCCCCCTCCCCCTCCCGCTCCCGCTCCTCCTCCCCCTCTCCCCCCTCCTCTCCCTCCTCCCCCTCCTCCTCCTCCCCCTCCTCCTCCAACGCTCCACCCACACCATCCCCATGCAGCGGCAGCACAGCACTTGCCAGGGACTGCCATCGCCGCACTGCTTGCCCTGCTCGCTCTACCTGCACTCCCTGCATGGAACCACCGGCGATTCCCCGCTGCACCGGGAAAGAGTCACTGGAGGAAAACCACCCAGATGGCAACGGCGAGCCCGGCAGAGAGGGGCTGTCTAGAGCCCCAAGGCCGCACAACACAGCACTGTGAGTAGGAGGAGGAGAAGGGGAGCGGCAGGAGAACGGTCTACCTACCCCCCCGACTCCACTTTCTCTCTCCCGCCGCGGCTGCCCCATGTCTTCATGGCTGTCGTCCCCTGTGAGGTCACGGCTCTCGTGGTTGTCATGGCTGCCATGGCTGTCGTCCCCTGTGAGGTCGATCAACTCACGCTCATCGCTCCATCCCTCCACCACGCCTCTTTCCTCCCGCTTCTCACTGCCGCCCTCCTCCCTCGCCCTCGTCTGCACCACCGTGCGATCGTTCTCAACCGCTGCCAAGCTGCTGCGACTGCCCTCACGTATCCTCCCATCAATGCTGCTGCTGCGCCACCTGCCGTGGCCGTTGCCATTGCTCATGCCATTGACACTGCCACGACGCGATCCCATACCTTCTTCCCTTGCCGCCCCTGCTGTCCCCCCTGCCCTCCTTCCCTCCACTGCCTCCTCTAATCCTGCTGCGCCTGCAAGTTCCCCTCGTTGCCTTGCTGCACTGCTTCTGATTCTGCTGGTGCCTCTACCTGTGTCACACCAGTCGTCACCCCACACCTCTTCATCCACCCTACCACTGCTGCCACAAGGCGCAACTTCTCTTGCCCGTCCCTCCGCACAACACGCACAGTCAGCGGCCTCTCTGCAAGGCCAGAAAGCACGAGCACCAGCATGTGTAGCAGCAGCACCACCAGCAGAACCAGTACGGGTGCTGCAGCCACTGCTATTACCACCGTCGCGTTTCAGCCAGACCCTTTCCAGATCCTCTCCCCTCTGCATCTCCCTCCCCACATCCCCATGCCCCCCATGCTCCGCTGCACGTCCCCCTTCTTCTCCTCTCCGTGCCTGCACGCCACAGCTCAACGCCCCTTCATCCCCTCTCCCCATCCACCCCGCTTCCAATCCCTCTCCACCCGCACTCCCATTCCCACTCTTGCTCCCAGTCGCCCCTACTTCCTCCCCCCACCGATCCACCCCACTCCATCCCGTCCCCCAATCCCCTTCACACCCCCTTCCCCCCTCCCCTCCTTCCTCCACCCCTACTTCCATGCTCCCACTGTCACTGTCAGAACCCCCCAGCAATCCCGAGTCCCCCCACTCGAACCCCCAGTCAACACCACCGCCGTTACCACCATCACAACCGCTCCCAACACCCTCATCCCCTCCCCCTCCTGCTCCTGCCCTCGCCTCTTGTTCCGCCTCCCCCCCCCTCTCCTCTTCCATTCCCCCTTCCCACGCCCCTTGTATACCCTCCTCTCCCACACCAGCCTCCCCCTCGCCCAACGCTCCCCCATCCCCACCCTCTTCTCCCCCTGCCTCCGCACCCCCATCCTCCCCCGCACCCCTTCCCCCAAGGGCGGTCAGGGGCGCAACAACGAGGCGCATTTGGGGGGGCAGGCAGGGGGGAGGCCAGTTGCGGGGGACATGCTCGGGGGAGAGAAACTGCAGAACGAGGGGGAGGCTGGGGGGAAGACGGGGAAGGTACGGGGAGTGGGAAGGAAATGAGAGAGGAAAAAGAGAGCACGGGAGAGTGGTGTGAGTCACGCGAGTGTAGGTAAGGAGTCAGCGGGCGAGGGAATCAAGGACACAAGAGAAACCCCTCTTTATCCATCTCCACTCCTTACAACACACCCCCTCCTTCCCCCAAGCCCCCCCCCCTCCGCTCCTCTGCCCGTCATCCCCTGCTCCTCTCCCCCTCACCTGCACCACAGCGGCAGCTGCAGCATGTGCAGCATGAGCCGCAGCTTGCCCGCAGATCCCATGAGCTGCCGCTTGCTGTGCTGCGCTGCCACGCCCCTCACGTGCAGCGACCGCAGCGGGTGCTGCCACGCCCACTCGAACTGCACACGGGGAAGGGGGAGCGCGGGTGGGGTTGGGGGTGGGGGTGGGAGTGGGATGGAGGGAGGTGGGCAGGCACAGAGTGCAGAGCCGAGAGGGACAACCATGAGACGTGCGAGACAGGTGCAAGGACCAAGGCGAGAGGTCCTAGGAAGAGTGATTCCTGGGGCCGGGGTCACACGAAGAGCATGTACCGCTGCAAGAGACGACGGGGAGGAGGAGGAGGATGAAGAGGAAGAGGAGTACGATGATGCATCACCCCCCAATCCTTTCCTTCCCCCCCTCGCGCACTCCAGCCAAGGAACCATCAACCCACCTTTCCGTGAGAGGCAAGGCAACCACTGCTGCCACGAGCGTTCCTACAGCCGTGTCGCCATCACATCCACTCTCCCCATTTCCTCCCATCTCCCCATCTCACCATCTCCCCCCATTTCCCTCCTCTTCCCCATCTCCTCCCTCTTCCCCCTCTGCACCCCTCCACCACGTCCCTCCCCCCCCACTCTCCATTCTCCCCTCCCCAGCTCCCTGCGCGCACCTGCAGCGCGGCGGTGCGCGAGGGGAAGCCGTGCAGCAGAAGCAGCATCTCCCAGGGGCGGTGGCGGCGCGTCTTGTGCGCGCCGCTCACCACGCGCCCGTTGTGCTGCCGCAGCCGCCGCACCGGGTCCACTGTGAAGCTGGAGTGCGGGGGGAGCCACGCGCGGGGAGAACGGGGCGCGGAAGGGGATGGCGGGGAGGAGGAGGGAAGGGGGAAGGGGAGCGGGGAAGGGAAGAGAGGACGGAAGGGTGGGAGTAAGTGTCTGTGCTGCCGCAACCTACACACCGGGTCCACTGCGAAGCTGGTGGAAGTGGCGCGAGGGAAAAGCTGGGAGAGAAGAGGGAGGGTGTACACAGTACACCTGAGAGTGCCTGTGCTGGCGCAGCCGCCGCAGCTGGCGCACGGGGTGCACTGTGAGGGAAGTGGGGGGAGGGTGTGAGGGTGTGCACCGGAGAGTGTCTGTGCTAGCGCAGCCGGACGTGGCCCATTGGGAAACTGGGGACGAGGGAGGGGAAGAGAACGCGAGCAATGGGAGTGAGCGACACAACGAGGAAGGCAACGAACTGATTTCTAGGTTAGATTGGTTTATAAGCTTGAATCTCCTGATTCTCCTCAGTGAGGGAGTTCGTGCGGAATCGGAATGAAATTGGACAATGATTACTCGTCGGCTCATACGGGCCATCAATGAGAGAAGCTCATCTCGAAAACATACCCGATATAAGTTGCTCCGCGTGCCTGGGGATTCAGACTCCGTAGCAGGTAACACGCGATCAGCGAAACCGTTGATTTTCGCGAGGGTCGCCTCTCCTTGTTCGACGCGTGTAGAGGCCTTTTAGACGATTTCTTCCCGACGTCATCCATGTCCCTCCGTTCTATGACCGCCCGATATGTCCCACCCGTATGAGTCGACTCAAAAGTTCGCTCAATTCCGTCTTCAAAGCATCCTCTCCACCTTTATCGAACGCTACGGGGCGAATCTAGACGACGTCGTCAGCGATCGCAGGGTGGACACTTTACACGACTCTGTGCGAAACTTCAATGGTCGCGAGGACTAGGGTCGCTGCGCACTGACGTAAGAAAGTCGCACGTGTGTCGCATTAACCAATCCGCTGCAGTCGCTGGTGTAGTTCTGGGATTTGGTCGTCTGCTGCCGAGATTAACGATCTTGCCACAAGTTAATCGAGCAGCTCCGCATTGGACGCGAAAAAATTAAGCCCCTTATCAGACAACCCCCGTCTGTAAGCGATTGACACAAACGCGGGCTGTTACACCCTAAAAATTACTTGGTCCCGAAGCTTAAAAAACATCTCCACATGCACAATAAAGGCCGCATAGACCTCGTCAGCTAAGGATAACCAGCTTCCGAAGCAGTAATATGAAGAGGTATTTTAGAGGCAGTTGAGAGTTTTGAGAGGCACCATTCTCTGTTCTCCCCTTGGCTCTCTGGATTTGAAAGGATTGCTCAGCGCGCTGTGCGCGATGCGTCTCGGCCCTGGGCCCTGGGATGCCTCTGACGAGGCGGTGTGATCACCGTCATATTGTCGGTACACTCAATGGCTGGATACACTGCACTCTGAAAAAGACGCGTTTAACTCTAAGCCCATCGTTTTTTTGTTAAACCGATAAATGCTTGAAGAGGAGTCTATACAGCTGCGTAAATTGCGCAACAGAAGCACCTCTTCAAACGAGTGGAATCGTAACTTTCTGAATCTTCCCGCCTGACATCCACCCAATGGTGTACAGTACCGTGTTCCCGCCTCACCCCCATCCACAACCATCCACAGCCGTTTATCCATCAGTCTTCCCTCCCACCCGTCGATGATGTGTGTCAGCTCACTCACCCGGCTCCACCAACCACCACAGGTTGCTTGACCACCTGTCACCGAACTGTCACCCTGCTTGATCGCCTTCAACTTCGTCAAAATCGCCACTGGCTGGTTACGAACACCGTCTGGTCGCAGCCAAATTCGTGGCCCTAGAAAGTACCAGATCTCGTCCCCTAACGTCAACAGTTACCGAGCCAAGGTACTGTGATTCTCTCCCTCCACATCAAATCACAAACATCGAGGTTCTCTCCGCATTCTGCGTTGCCCTCTCTCACATTCTCGTTCAAGGTGAAACCTTGACTGTTGGCCACCAACGCGACGTTCGTGGGAGACAAAGGGGAACCGTACGGGATGAGCGTAGCAAACAGAATTTGAGTGTCGGCGTGTGCGTGATCGTTCTATCCAGGAGCGGCGAGCGGAATCGGGTAGTCTCCTCGGGGCGACTCGCGCTACCTTCACCCTCAGGTTCGAATTCCTCGTACGGTAGTCCGGCGATGCCCGGTCGGTCTGAAAGCGATTCTTTTGACGACCCAATTTTCCGTAGGTGCAATGCTATTGTCTCAAAAACTCGTAGTTGTTAGCCATTGACCTTCCTTGTCCTTGAAGAGACAACCTTTGCCAGTGGTTCATATCCTGCTTGCTCTGTCCACTCCTTGCTAGTCTCCCTTCGTCCCAGTCCTTCGCACGCGTTAACACGTTACTGTCAATGTTTATTGTACCTCACACACCCTCTCACCATAATTCGACCTCACCTTGTGCTTCCTCTTCTTCCGCTCCCGTTTCGCCAGACCGCCATGAGGCATTCGCAGCTGCTCCTATCGCTCCTCCTCGTCGCCAGTCTTGTCGCCGCGGCAACCGCGCTCCGCCACGCCTCCCTTCCTCTCGACGATTCCTCTGCATCATCCGTCCCCTCGTCTCTCGCGAACGGTGCGGATCGATCCGCATCTGTCGCGGTCGCCCGTCGCTTGCTCGGTCTGTCTGTTGACGACGTTGACGATGACGGTGCGACGCGGGGACTCTCCGTCACGGTCCTGTCGCCGCATTTGACGGCGGTGAATGCGGAGGAAGGGGGAGAAATGGCGGAAAGGATCATTGGTGCCCGCAGGGGTTTGCAGGAGGACGAGGAGACGGGGGAATTGACCAGCACCAGCAGCAGTAAGCTGAGCAAGAAGAAGAAGAAGAAGCTGAAAAAGAAGAAGAAGAAGGTGAAGACCGCTTTGAAGGTAAAGAAGTCTGTTCTTAGCGAGGATGCGGACGAGGAAAGCGCGGCGGTAGCGGCGGAAGCGGAGGGAGCGGAAGGAGCTGTTGCGAAGGAGGGGGCGCAGGGGGAGGACGAGGCGGGAGTGGGAAGTGTTAAGACGAGGAAGAAGAGCGATGAGATGATACAGATGGCGGTAGGGGGCCGCGAGGACGCAGAGGAGAGCGAGCTTAGCGCGGGGAAGACGGCGAGGGAGAGCGAGGAAGATGATTCCGCTGCCGCTGCTGCTGGTGCTGCTGATTCCGATGGTGCTGCTGATAGTGATGGTGGCGATGACGAGGGTACTGTGCGAAAGGCGAAGAAGAAGAAAACGAAGAGCAAGTTAAGCAAGAAGAGTAAGACGAGTACGGCGGATGATGAAGCGGAGCAAGAGGGGGAAGAGGGACTGGTGAGGAAGGCAGGGAAGGCTAGCGGTGCGGCGGACGAAGAGGACGCTTCTGCTGCTGCTGCTGCTGCTGGCGCTGATGATGCTGACGCTGCTGCTGGTGATGCTGATGCTGTTGATGATGCCGATGGTGTGGGCTTTGGCGTGAAGAAGAGCTCCAAGAGCAAGAAGAAGAAGAGCAAGACAAAGAAGAAGAAGAAGAAGACGACGAGCAAGCTGGCGCCAGACGACGACGACGAGGGGGCACGCGAGGGGACGGGCGGCGATGGTGCCGAGGAGGTGGCGAAGGGAGCTGGTGAGGAGGAAGGAGAGGAGGAGGGGGCGGGGGCGGTGGGTGTGGGGAGTAAGGTGGCGAAGAAGAGAGCGTCTGGTGTTGCTGACGGGGATGAGGAAGGGGAAACTGGTGCGGGCGCAGAGGAGGCTGAGGTGGGGAAGAAGCGAAAGAGCGGCAGCAGCAAGAGCAGCAGAGCGAGCGCAGAGGAGCCGGGCGCAGAGGAGGATGCGGAGGCGGCGGCAGCAGGCGAGGCAGCCGCGGAGAAGGACGACACTGAGGGCGCGGCAACGGGAGGCGCCATGGCGAAAGCAGCAGCGGCAGCGGACGCGGAGGAGGGAGGCGATGCACCCGCCAAGGAGTCTCTCTCGGCGGAGGAGGAGGAAGGGGGATCGGGGGAGGCGGGGGAGGCGGGGGAAGGGGACGGGGAGGCAGGCGGGTCCAAACGGCGGTCATCCGCGGAGGAGAAGGTGGAGGCGGCAGCGGAAGCGGCGGAGACGGCGGCAGCAGAGGCGGCGGGCGCGGGGGACGTGGCAACGGTGGAGGCAGCGCAGGAGGACAGCGGGAACAGCGGGGTCGCAGACGAGATCGTGCTCGCGCCTGCCACTGACATCAACACACAGAGCGGGAGTGGGAGCGGGGCGGGGAGTGCGACGGGCGCAGGGGAGGCGGATGTGGGGGTGGTGGATGAGTCAGTGGTGCTGGGAAAGGAGGGCGAGGCGGCGGCAGCAGCGGCGGACGAGGGCGCGGCGGAGGTGAGCGTGGGCGAGCAGCTGGAGCTGGAGGCGGCGGCGCTGGAGGAGGAGGAGTCGCTCGTCAACTTCATGACCAACCTGCACGGCGTGCCCCACCGCATCACCCCCACGCTGCAAGGCCTCCGGGTAGGTGTTGCTGGCGGGTGGCTGTGAGATGGGTCTCATGCGGTTTGGTCGTCCCTCATGGGCTTCGCTCGGTTTATCTATCGCATTGGGTTGCGTTCCAGTGCTGCTTCCTTCGCCACGTGGTAAGGTTATTCTTCCCCCCCTTCCCCTACAACGCTCAACCCTCCACAACCCCCCACCTCCCCATCGCATGTGTTGCTCACCGCTTGTGGTCTGAGCTGGAGAAGCGGCATACTTGAGCATCCGAATATCCAAGTTCCGTTCCACGTGCCTGTTGTGTTTTAAGAATTCTCTCAAAACCTATGGTGAATGATGGGGCTGGGCTCTTTTCCCGACCGTCCTCTCCTCTCTCTCCTCTCGCTTTCCTCCTTTTGCTAATTCTCTCCCCTCTCCTCCCTCCCTTCCTCTCTCCCCCCTTCGCCACTCTCCTCTTCCCTCTCCCCCCGCCCCCCTCCTCTCCCCCTTCTCCCCCCATCGTCCCCCCTTCCTCGACCGCCTCCTCTCCGTCCCTCCTCTCCCCCTTCACACCACACCCCACCCCTCCCAACCCCTCAGGACAAGGCGGCGAAGCACATGGCGCCGACCATCAGTCGCCTGGCGCAGAAGGGCCATGCAGCCTTCATCCACACGTCCGCCACTCTCCGTTCGCACATCACGCCCTACGTGGGCGAGTCGTACTCGCCTCTACTCGCCTCGGCGCTCTCCTTCTCGCTGCTGCTCATCCCCCTCGCGCTCATCCTCTACCTGCTCAACAAGGCGCGCGTGATTCTCACCGTGCCCAAGCTGCTGCTGCTCGCCAACCTGTACCTCACGCTCTACTGCTTCACGCTGCTCGTGGCGTGTGTCGTGGTGGGCGGGGAGCCCATGGCGAGTCTCAGAGCGGTTGCCGAGCCGAATTTCTATGTGCTGCAGCTGGTGCAGTTTGCAGGGTTCATGCTGTACCTGGGGCTGCAGGTGAGGAGGCGGAAGGAGAGTTATTGGGGTGTGGTTTGGGGGTGGGGGATGGGGTCTGGGGATGCATGTGAGGGGGGTGGGTGGGAGGGACTTGTTGGGCTGCACGTGTGATGTGGGCTTAAGGTGGTGTGGTCTCGAATGTGACTTTCATCCCCCATCAATTCCGTTCCCTTCCTTTCCCTTCCCTTCCCTTCCCTTCCCTTCCCTTCCCTTCCATTCCCTTCCCTTCCGTCACCTCATCTCACCTCACCTCACCCCACACCCCATCCCACCGCAAGCCCTCCCTTTCCCTCCCCCCCTCTTCTCCCCCTCGGGTGTCTAAAAAACACTCTGCAGCATTTCACTCCCCCTCAACTCACCGCATTCGTCATCCCCATCGTCGTCTCCCTTTTTTCCTCCCCTCCAACTCCACGCCCCTCCTCCTGCCCGCCCGCCACCCCTTCCGTTTCCCTTTCCCTCGCCAGTTCTGGTCCCTAGGCAGCGCTCTCCGGAGCAACTCGCGGCAGCGGGACCTGGGGGCGGTGGCACGGGCGCTCATCCAGTGCACGGCCACAGTTGGCATCGGGCTGCACTACTACCTGGCGGTGTTTGAGCGCGCCATGCTGGACGAGGCCCTGCGCATGAGCGCGTGGGCGTACCTGGTGTATGCGCTCGTGTTTGCGCTGCTCACTCTGCTCACCAGAACGAAGCAGATGCGCGAGGAGATTGGGAAGAACACGTGAGGGGCGGAGGAAAGGGTGTGGGGAGTGGGGTGGATGGTGGATGGTGGAGGGTGGATGGTGGAAGGGGGTTTGTTGGAGCTTGATTGGATCATAGGGAGGGTAGCTGAATGGGATCAAGTCTGATGTGGTGGATGGATATTGTGAGTTGTCTGTTACGATTTGAATGCTGTGCCGCGCGATGCTCTCTTTTTAGGTTAGTTAGAACACCGGTAGGTGCATAGAGATGGTGTGGTGTGCTTGTCCAGACGACCTAATCTATTGACTGCATGACGTGAGTGATTGTGCCTCCTATTTCCAATTCGTGTTTCCCTGCTCTTGCCTTGGGAGGGCGTGTCCAGGTTGCACCGTACCTCTCCCGTAAGGTCTTGGCGGTCTGATTCTATGCAGCGTGGTGCTAATTCGTTCCGTCATGGTGCCTGTTACGAGTGCAATTGAGTGAACGAACGAGAATTGCACTATCGAAGCAAGAGTACAATGAGCGAAGGCATGAGCGAAGAATATATAGCGAAACTACAGTGGTAACGGTCACGGACTGTGGTTGTCGCGTGACGGGCCTGGGACTGAGGTTGGGAAAAGTGCCGAAGCGGAGGCCCGGAGCGCGGGTTACCCGCCGAGCCGTGAGGTCGGGGTGCGACGTGCGAAGGTGGCGGGAGGATTGTCGATGCGAGAGTTGCGAATGGTAACGGTGCTGACTGTGGTGCTACAGTGGTGTACGCGCTGAGCGGGAACGCCAAGTAAGGAAAAAGAATTTTCCTTACAGCGCCTAACAGTTTTCTTTCGTGTAATATCTTCCTGAGCTGCGAAACATGAACTGTGACTGTATTCAGGATAAGAAGCTTTGTGGGCAGAATGGCACAGGGCATTTGAAGACATGAAGAAATGACTACTATTAAAGGTCCAATAGAATATTACAGGATCGAATGAAGAAGATATAGCAGATATACTAGCCTGTCATGATGCAGAATTGAACGATGCGTTTAGAGTGAAACGTGAGAAAGCAGCAGCCATAGCTTGACAACAACCAACAAAAGTCACCCTTGTGAACAAGCCAAAGAGACTTGCACATCGCCTTGTGTTGCCCTGCCTTGACGAGTCTTGACCCTGCCTGCTACCCCCAGCTTCTTGGTGTGGCAATGGTTTTCACAGCTGCTGCTGCTGTGTGTGCCGGAACGCACACTCACACTGCGCATCCTCAACGTTGCGTCCTTCCTGAAATACTCCACACCAAACCCACTCTCCTCCCCACTGTCCCCACTGTCCCCGTCCCATTCCCATATCCCCTCTAGTGCTGCTGCTGCTGCTGCTGCTGCTGCTGTTGCTGCTGCACCATCGATACTCACTGATGCTGCCTTGTGTGTGCGCTGTGCGCCTTGCTATCGAAACAAGACCTGTGTCAATAGCCAAGCCCACTGTACCTCCCTCCAAAGATTCTTCAATGCCCGAAATTCTGCCTTCACCACCTCCCCCCCCCTCATCTGACCCCTCCCCCATCCCCAGCCTTCCCTCACCCCTCAACCTCCCCCCTCGCTCCTCGTCCCTCCACCCTCTCCCCTTAACTCTCACTCTACCCGGCCTCCCCTCACTCACCCCTCTCTCCCCTCACTCCCACCCCTCGCCCCTCTCCCCTCACCCCGCCCCCCTCATCCATTCATGAGCCGATCAATCACGGCATTCAGGTCCACGCCCCGCCCCGAGTCCATCACCTGCTGCACCGCCGCCCGCACGCGCTCCCTCGCAAACCCCATGCTTGCCACGTCATCCACCACCTTCTCTATAGGCACACTCCTCGTACTCACATTAGCACCAGACCCAGACCCAGACCCTCCCACCCCTCGGGAGCCTTCTCCTCCTGCCCTCCCTCCTGCCCCTGCTCCTGCCATCCCTGAATCACTCACAGGTTCTGCAAACGTGACTCTCCTTCCGCCCCCTCCCCTCACTCCGCCCCTTGCTGCTGCTGCCCCCGCTCCCCCGCCCGTCCCCCTGGGCCCATTCCCCATGGGTGCTGCGACAGGGTGGGCAAGGGGAAGGGGTGCAGGTGGGGCGGGGGAGGCGCCTGGGGAAGGGGAGGATGGGGGGAAGGCCCCAGGGGAAGGGGAAGAGGGGTAGCTGGGAGTCAGGGGTGGGGGAGGGGGAGTGAAATAGGGCTGGGGAGGCATTGGGGGAGCGGGGGGGCCGCCGGGGGGAGGAGGAGGGGGTGGGTAAGGATAAAGGGACTGGGGGTAAGGTGGTTGAGGAGGCAGAGGCGGGTACTGCTGCTGCTGCTGCTGCTGCTGCTGCTGCTGCTGCTGCTGCTGCTGCTGCTGCTGCTCGTACTGCTGCTGGTGAAACTGCTGGTGCTGCTGAGTTATGGAGTGCATGGGCATTGGCATGGGTTGCCCGGCGGGAGGCGGAGGAGGGGGAGGTATGCCGTATGGGGGAGGTGGCGCATGTGGATAGTACATCATGGCATGAGGTGCGGGGGGGGCATACATGCCCTGAGATGGAGGCGGGGGAGGGGGAGGGGGAGGGGGAGGATGATGAGGAGGAGGAGAGGGAGGAGGAGGGGGAGGAGGAGGGGGAGGAGGAGGGGGAGGAGGAGCGTTACCACGGGGATTGGGGTAACCAGGAGGAGGAGGAGGAGGTGGAGGAGGGGGAGGGGAAGCAGATGGCGGCAGCATGCTGTATGGCGGAGGGGGAGTGGGTGGGGCGGGCGCAGGAGAGGGAGGAGGGGGAGGAGGAGCAGCCGCAGCTGCAGGGGGAGGGGGAGGGGGGGGGAGGGGCAGGTGCAGGAGGAGGAGGCGAGGGAGGGAGAGGAGGAGCATTTGGAGGAGGCGGCTGGGGATAAGGTGAGGGGAAGACAGGAGCAGCAGCAGGAGGTGGGGGTGGAGGTGGGGGGAGTGGTGGGGGCGGTAGTGGTGGCGTAAGTGGTGGTGGTGCTGCAGGTGGTGCTGTTGGTGGGGGTGGTGGAGCAAAGCTTCCAGGAGCAAGAGGAGCGCTGGGTGCTGCCTGCTGTGATGCCTGCTGTGCTGCCTGCAATGCTTCCTTTTGCTGTTGATGCATGTAGTGCTCTCGAGCCTGTGCTTCTTGCTCTGCCTGTGCCTGTGCCTGTGACTGTGCATGTGCCTGTGCCTGTGCATGTGCCTGTGCCTGTGCCTGTGCCTGTGCCTGTGCATGTGCCTGTGCCTGTGCCTGTGCCTGTGCATGTGCCTGTGCCTGTGCCTGTGCCTGTGCATGTGCCTGTGCCTGTGCCTGTGCCTGTGCCTGTGCCTGTGCCTGTGCCTGTGCCTGTGCCTGTGCCTGTGCCTGTGCCTGTGCCTGTGCCTGTGCCTGTGCCTGTGCCTGTGCCTGTGCCTGCATTTGCACTGAGTCAACCACACTCCCCGCACCGTACTGCTGCTGCTGCTGCGCCTGTTGTGCCACATGCTGACTGCCTCCTTCCTGCTGCTTCTGCTGTTGCTGAAAATTCTGCTGCTGCTGCTGTTGCTGAAAATTCTGCTGCTGCTGCTGCTGGTGCTGCTGGTGCTGCTGAAAATTCTGCTGTTGCAGAAACTGCTCCTGCTGCTCCTGAAAATTCTGAAGCTGGTGGTGGTGTTGCTGCAAATTCTGCTGCTGCTGCTGCTGCTGCTGCTGATGCAACTGCTCCTGCTGCTGCTGCTGCTGCTGCTGCTGCTGCTGCTGCTGCTGCTGCTGCTGCTGCTGCTGCTGCTGCTGCTGCTGCTCCTGGTGCCGCTGTGCAGATGCCAGGTGCTGTGTGTGGTGCGGGGCTAGAGGTAGAGATGGATACACTACAAAGTTCCCACGGTATTGCCTTTCTGCCTGCTCTTGTGCCTGTGCCTGTGCCTGTGCCTGTGCCTCAGAATAGTAAGAGGACGAAGGATACCCACTGCTTCCCTGCTGCTGCTGCGGCTGCTGTGGCTGTTGCTGCTGCTGCTGCTGCGGCTGCTGCTGCTGCTGCGGGTGGGGCAACAGTGTCTGTGACAGCAGGGCAGCAGTGGGTGCGAGGAAAGGGTAGGCAACAGGAGCAGGGGCAGCAGGTGCGGTTGGAGCATTAACACGAGGTGGGGGGGCCGTGGCAGGCAGAGCAGGGGCAGGAGGAGCAGACGCAGGCTCAGGGTAGGGAGGAGGAGGGGAGGAAGCTGGGGAAGAGTAGGGCGGAGATGGGGCGGAAGCAAGGTAGTGAGGGAGAGGCAACGGAGCGAGGGGAGGATGAGGAGCAGGAGAGGCGTATGGGGGAGGAGGGGGCGGCTGGGTGGGCTGGATAGCAGCAGCAGGGGCAGGAGGAGCGGGCAGCGCGAGAATGGTGCTGGCAGCAGCAGCACCACCACCGGCGGTATCAGTGGAGTTAGCAGCGGTACCGATGGAACCAGCAGCGGTGCTGGGAGGTGCGGAGGCGAGGGAGAGGGAGTGCAGGCGAGAGAGCTGTGCGTGAGCGTCGGCTAGTTCGTGTCGGTCCCGCAGCACCTGAATGCCCCTCTGTACCTGCCATGTGAGCATGCGGCGCCGGGGGACAGGGGCAGGGGGGGAAGGGGCCGGGGGACAGGGGGGGAATGGGCAGAGGTACAGGGGGGGGAAGGGGCAGAGGGATGGGTGGGGAAAGGGTGAAATGGGGGGTAGGGGCAGAGGGGCGCATGGGGGAAGGATCAGAGGAACACACGGGCTTAATATTGAGGGGGGCAGCCAAACAGGATGAAAGGGGGGAGCGGGAGGGAAGGGGGGTGAGGGATAAGGGGATGGAGGTTGCTAGGTTGGAGGGGAAGGGGGAGAGCAGAAAGCAAAGCAAGAGTGTGGGGATCACGCTTTTGAAAGAGAAACGAGAAAGAAGACGACAAACCAAGATACGAAAATAACAAGAAGGAAATACAAAAGCACCGAGCACACTGCATGTGATGTTGCTGCAAAGGCGGATTCAAAACTGCCCCAAACTACTCTGACCGAATCTTCCTCTCTTTTCAATGAGAACGCCCCCACCTGCGCAATCGCCCTTTTCTCTTCCCTCACTCCCTCAATTCACTCTGATACCAACACCCAACAACCACCCCCACTCCCCCTCCAATCTTCTCACTGAACCCCTTCCCCGCCATCACCCCTTCCCACCTCCTCCTTCCCCGACTTCACGAATTTCTCCCTTTCCTCTCCCTCCCCTTTCCCCCCTGCCCCCTCCCTCCTCCCCCCTCCCCCCACCCTTTTTCCCCCTTCTCCCCCTCACCTCCAGCAGCAGCTGTTCCATTGATCGCATCCGCCCCTCCAGCTCCGCCTGCCTCTCCCCCATCTCCCGCCACCCCCTCTCCCCCTCGCGCTGCAGCGCCCCCACTGCGCTCTCCACTGCGCCAACGCGCGCCCCCACCTCCCCCACGGCCGCGCCCACGCCGCCCGCGAACCGCTGCAACAGACGCTCCACGCCGCCCAGAACCGCGGACGTGACGTGGCTCAGGTCCGCGGCGGTTGCTGGGGCGCGCGCTGCTGCTGATGCGCGCATGCCCTCCCCCCCGCCCATGGATAAGCTTCCGCCCCCACTGCTGCCCCCACTGCTGCCACCACTGCTGCTGCCGCCACCAGCGCTGCCACCACCACTGGCTCCTGTGCCTGAGCCTGCTGCTTGCCCCCCATCCCCCCCAACGTAACCACCTCCGAAGCCTCCCCCTCCGCCTCGCCCTCCCCCACCTCCCCCTACTCCTCCCCCTCCCCCGCACCCCGCTGCTGCGCGCATGGCTGTCCCCACTGACGCGGACCACGAGGAGGGGGGATTCGAGGGGGCGGAGGAGGAGGAGAGTGAAGGGGACGGGGAGGCTGAAGCGGACAAAGAGGAGGAGAAGGTTGAGGGAGACACGGACGCTCCAGCGCGCGAGGCGGACGAGGAGGGCATGTAGAGAGGCTGCTGCTGGTGCTGCCCGCGGTCCGCGCTCAGGTCCCCCTGCGTGTAGCACGGCATGTGCGGGAATGGGGAGTGGGCGCGGAGGGGAGTGACACGGAATAGGTAAGAGCGGAATGATGATAATTGGCGCAGGACGATGATTGGAAAGGTCGTGCCGAGATTTTCGAGAGGGGTGCATACAGATAGGTAAAGTATGTGTGAAGGGGTGAGCGCAGGGAGAGGGGGGAAGGGTGAGCGCGGCAAGAACCCATTGGCGAACACGCGAGACGTAAGGCACGGCAAATTGGTAAAACGGACTTGGAATTTCTTTAAAAACATAATAAGCAGACGCGTAGGCGAAGGGAGAAGAGAGAGCGATTAAGAGAGATATGAGAAGGGCGGCGGCAGAATGGTGAAGAGTGAAGGAAGCCGAAATACTTCCTTTCTCCCCCTAATAAAAGCGGGGCGTGTTAACAAAGGGTTACCCAACGCCGTAATACACAGCCACGGTCGCGGGAAATTTCCGTCCACTTTCAAGACGTCACGCAGTCACTCAAAAAGATCTGCGTGCTCATGAAGAGATCACCGAAAATCTAATACTTGTCACGGACACGGTCGCGATAAAAAGCCCGTCCAATCACGAGACGATTCAAAAGGCGTTGCGTGCTTACGAACAAGTCGTAAACGTCGTGATGCATGGACACGGTCGCGAGTTAAAAGCCCGGCCACAAAAAAGACAGCTCAAAGGCGGGGCGTGCTTACAAAGAGGTCACCGACGTCGTGGTGCATTGACACGGTCGCGGGGAAGAGCCCGTCCAGCGATACCTGCGCGCGCGCATCTCCGCCCACCGCGTACATCCCGCCGCCCGCAGCTCCTTGCGCGGATTTCCCTTCACCCGACGAATACCCCGCGCTGCCCCCGCCAACGCCGCCGCCGGCGCCGCCGCCGCTGCCGAGGCTGCTGCTGTTGCTACCACTGCCGGGCATCGTTGCCGAGGCTTTGGTTCCTGAGCCGAAGCGGTAGAGGTCGTCGAGCACGGATGATGTGGACGCGGACGCCGATGACGTGGAGCGCGCGGAGGACGGTTGAGATGCAGTCGACGGTGGCAAGAGATCGAAAAACGGGTCTGATGTGGCACTATGAGGCTGACGCGAGGGCCAGCTGGGATCCATGGCTATAAAAAAGTCACCTATCCTCTTCTGGTCTTAACCAGGGCACTATCTAAAAAGTTAATAACTTGTTACGCCCAGAAACTTCGGCTCAAGTTAATCCGCATCGACTGACTTGTTCACGCGAATCCCCGCTAGCAATTGCTGCTGGCAAATTAACTTTCTATGCACGCAATGCAATGGCGTTGTTCTGCAGGCGTTTAGGGCTCCGCACCAATTTGACTGCGGTAGCCTTCCGTGCATTTTCTAGGTGCATTCATGCTGGTTGCGTTGCGCGGATGTTGCTGCCTCGAGGCTGATGCTAGCTCCCGAGGTAGAGGCGCTGTTCTGTAGGCGTTAAAATTTCCAAAAACTGGGTCCGCAGAATCTTTGTTGATAAGTGGTCTTCTGCCTATCAAGGTGTGGTGATAAGAAAGGTCCTGCCGAACCTGTTTGCGCCAAATTTAACGCATCAGCCTGGAGAACGCCACTTTTGGGGCGCACGAATTTAACCGTCTGCAAGCTCGAAGTTGTTGCTTCGCCGGGCAAATGGTCGCACAACTAGTGCGGTGCTAATTCTACCTCGGGAGCTAGCGTCAGCCTCCGCACATGTTATGCGAGGCAGCAACATTCGCGCAACGCAACCATCATGAATGCGCCTAGAAAATGCGCGGAAGGCTACCGCGGTCAAATTGGTGCGGAACCCTAAACACCGCGGTCAAATTGGTGCGGAACCCTAAACACCTGCAGAACAACGCCAGAATTAGCACCGCACTACACCTAGTCCGCGGTATTTTAACCGCCGCTATCTTAACCACGCGGGGGTACTACTCCGTGGTGAAGATCGAATAAAAAGGTAGTTTAACCAATTTATGAGGGCATATTTACGCGTCCCCTTCGCGAGGTCCGTCAGTTGCAACTCTAATGAATGGTAATGCGCCCCCTTTCTCGGAGCACTAAGTGTGTGTTTTCCGAAACAAAAGTGTCCCGGCTGTATTATAATAGCCCCGAAGTCTCTGGGTGCCCATCCCATTGGACAAAAATTCACACAGGATATTTTAAACAAAAAAGTTCACGTGGTTAAAATACCGCGGACTAGGTTGTAGTTGTGCGACCATTTGCCCGGCGAAGCAACAACTTCGAGCCTGCAGACGGTTAAAGTGGCATTCTGCAGGCTGAAGCGTTAAATTTGGCGCAAACAGGTTCGGCAGGACCTTTCTTATCACCAAACCTTGATAGGCAGAAGACCACTTATCAAAGAAGATTCTGCGGACCCAGTTTTTTGAAAATATATCGCCTACAGAACAGCGCCAATACAAGCACCTGTCCACTTCGCGGGACGCATGGTGCTGGTACTGCTCATAGTGGTTCCTCCCTCATCTCAACCGCAGCTTGTGGATGTGGTTCAGTTCGTTGGGTACAGTTCGTTGGGTACAGCCATACTTTCATGCCCAACCACGGTGACAGGCTAGCCAGGAACATCTCACCCGCCACCGAGAACGTTCATTTCACTTGAACGGGTCCTCAACCGCGCAAGATGGTCCTCAACCGCGCAAGATGGTAATCAACCGCTTCAAAGCACCAGTTTGATCGATTCGCGACACGGCCGATGAAACCCACAAACAAACTCGAGGCGCGAGGTTCCCAGCACGAACCTGCTTGATTTGGTTCGGCTGGACAGTTTTCCGAAACAAATAGACCCGACGTAAAAATCTAGCCTGGCACGTCACGTGCGACATACCTGACTTGGCTCCCCAGCGGATTCCGCGCTGTTACGAATGTAGCACTTGCTAACATACTCTCTTAGGGCGCATTCTTGTATCGATACAAGTGTCTCAATCTATTTGTGACACCCAAAAACAACATAAATTGTATTGTGTCCCAAATGCAACTCGCCATTCAGCGACCATTACTGTATTTTTCATTGGTCAGCGTGAAACATGCTGACGTCGTGGACGAGTTGCAAATTGTGTCAAATGTTGTAGCCTGTAGTGAGGCATGTCAGGTGGGGTACAGTTTTTTGGGTTAGATATATATGCCCCTAACTCACAGTAATACAAACATCATTCCGTTTCTAACATGCTATCAGAGCAGACCTGATCCTAGGCCATATCATTTATAAGCCCACCGTTAGCCATCACTCCTCCCGTCGTGTTGCTTGTCGCAGCCCCTGTCACGCCCGTCGTGACGCTCGTCACGGCGCTCAACATGACGGCCGCGACGAACGCGATGCAGCACCCAATCCGCCGCGCTGCATCCCGTCGCCGTGGCGCTCCACGTCCCGTCACCGCGGCGCCTTGCGTCCCATCACCGCGGCGCCTTGCGTCCCGTCGCCGTTGCGCCCTGCGTCCCATCGCCGCGGCGCCCTGCATCCCGTCGCGCCCGCTGCCCTGCTTCCCGTCGCTGCGGACGCCCTGCTTCCCGTCGACGCGGCTTCTGCTGTAGGAGGAGGTGGCGGGGGGGAGGGGGCGTGGGTGGTTAACGCCAATCGGCTCTCTGCTCTGCGCTCCACCGCTACGCCGTCGCTCTCTTTCTCTCTATCTCCCTGCTGCGTGTGCAGCAGTGGGGGGGAGGGTTTGGGGGTGGCGGGTGTGAGCAACCAGTGTCAAAATATGTTTACATATTTTATATAATTATTTGCAGTTGTAGTGTAGATATTGCATCATGTTTGGTGGTGCACCTCCTTGTGTTGTTGTTTACCTATTTGTACTTTCTATTCTTATTAGTGAAGCCCTCTTTTGGCTTGCATTTCCTCTTGCTACTTCCTAAGCCTAAACCCTAGGCTTTACTTAGCCTCCTATTTTCAACATGGTATCAGAGCTAGGTTGTCCTAAGACCTATTTTATTTCCCCATGGGCCCACCACGTATCCCCCCGCTCATGGCGCTCGTCACGCCCCCCATCGCGGCCGTAGTTACGACGGCTGCAACGGTCGCGACCGTCGAAACGGTCTCATCCGTCCCGTCCGTCCCATCCTTCGTGCCCTCCCCGTCACGCCCGTTGCGCCCTGCTCGTCGCGCGCGTCGCCTGCCCCGCCCCGTTCTGTCTCGAACACAGCAGCAGCCGCGCGCAGCTGCGTACGGGCGCGCATTGGTGCGAGCAGCCGCGTACGACCGTGCGCACCCGCGCACGGCCGTGTGCGCCAGCACCAGCGCCCGTCGCCAGCACCTGCGTGAGCAGCAGCTAACGCCGCCCCCCCCTTCCCTTCCACAACTTCCGCCATGGGGGGAGGGAGATGTGGGGGTGGCGGGTGTGAGTTGCCTGCAGCCCGTCCTTCCCCTCCCTTCAGCGGGGTCCGCTGTGAGGGGGGGGGAGAGGTTGCGGGGGGAGGGTGAGGGGAAACGGGGGGAGTGTGAGAGGGTGGCGAGAGAGATTCTGCAAAGCCAGCAGCCGCCCCTCCTCTCTCTCTCACTACCACTCGTGCTGCTGTGGGGGGGAGGGTAAGAGAGGGTGGCGGGAAAACAGTCAAGCATCTGCAGCTGCCACCCGCTGCTACCGTGGCACCTCCTGCCGCCGCCCCTGCCGCCACCTGCCCTTGTTTTTGCTGTCTGCTGCTGGGGCCTGCAGGTGCTGCTGTCGAGCCGCTGCTGTCCTGCTGCACGTTGCAGCCACAGAGCCTGCTCCTCAGGCAACCTGCCGCCCCTACACCTGCTACTGCTTCTACCTTGGCTGAAGGCGTGCTACAACTGTATTTGCCACTCCTGCACCGGCTACTACTGCTCTTGCTTGCTTCTGCTTCTTCCGCTGCACTCTTGGTGCACCCCGTCAGGGGGCGTTTTACACTTACTCCTGCAATCAATTATGGGGGCGTGTCAAAATATGTTTACATATTTTATATAATCGTTTGCAGTTGTAGTGTAGATATTGCATCATGTTTGGTGGTGCACCTCCTTGTTGTTGTTTACCTATTTGTACTTTCTATTCTCATTAGTAAAGCCCTCTTTTGGCTTGCATTTCCTCTCGCTACTTTCCTAAGCCTAAACCCTAGGCTTTACTTAGCCTCCTATTTTCAACAACCAGTTGCTGCCCCTCCTCCTCTCTCTCTCACTACCGCACGTGCCACTGTGGGGGGGAGGGTGAGGGGGTGGCGGAAGTCAGCCCGGCATCTGCTCTGCCGCCCGCTGCTACTGTGGCACCTCCAGCTGCCGCCCCTGCCGCCACCTGCCCTGTCTTTTTCTGTCTGCTGCTGTTGAGCAACAGGTGCTGCCGTTGAGCCCTGCTGTGCTGCCGCACGTTGGCGCCACATGCACCCCCTCTCCAGGCGACCTACCGCCACATGCGCCTGCTTCTACTGTTTCTACCTTGGCTGAGGGGTTGGTGCACCTAAATTTGCCACCATTGCATCGGTTGCCACTGCTCTTGGCCACTGCGGCTGCTTTCTCTGTTCGTGGTGTACCCATCCACGAGGTGTTGCTGCACAAACTTTTGATGTAGGCAGTTATGGGGGAGTGTTGGATTATATATGTAACTGCCTGTAGCTATAGTTTAGTGTAGTTATCCTAAACTGTTGGTGGTGCACCTCACCCGTTACTGTAAAAAAACCGCACACTATTTGAAATGTCAATGCACCCGGACACCCCACCCCAGCCAAGCAGTTGAAGAAACGGGTGTACAGTCATTTGAGAAACCCAATCAAATGCGCACAACTGTACATTTCACCTGGTCGCCTAGTGTCGCGATACTTCCAAATTTTGAGACGCGAGGCTAACAAAATGTGGAGACGCGACTTGGAAGAAAGGGCATTGAGACATTTGTGTCGACACAGGAATGCACCGTTATACTATTCTAGCGTTGTGATCCCATTCAAACAACGTTGCACAAACTGTCATGAGTTGTAAAACAGAGGTGCGCGGAAAATGAATAAAGAAGCTTGTGATTAAATGGAATGTTGGAGTAAGACGAGAAATATCAATAGCATTCCCAAAGGTGCAGCCTTATCGCACCAGCTACTATGAAAATAGCACTTGTACCACTTCCGCGTCAGCCCGTACAAGGCACGCAGGTCAACGGCCGAGAGTCAATTAT